ACCTGTTTTGTCACTCTGATCCATACACTGGTAAACTAAGCTGAATCTACAGTTCTAATAGAAGGGATAGGTAATTCTGGGCTCAATAAGGTATGTAGTCAATGTGCAAGAATGTATAGGATAAATAATGAAGATGGACTCCTATTTATCTTTCATACATTACATGCATCTTTTACACCATCAGGTTAATCCCTTAAAAGAGATTTGAAAGTCCCTATGGCCCTTGCCACAGAGCCCCCTGCTCCCACTCCATGATGGCCACTGGCTCTCTCATCAGACAGCCCTGGGACTGCCACTACCCAACACCACCAGGCTGAGACTCACACACTAGCTACATTTCCGAGTCTCAATACCGCATATCCTCACACACTCTCCCTCGCTAAGATTGACACACCACCTCCCCGGTGCCTAACTCTTGCGTCTGAGATTGTGTAGCTGCAGCTGCTGGTGCCCCTCGAAGCCGTGCCCAGCCACCACTGCCTTCTCACACCGCAGCTACCTGTGCATCTTTCATATGCCTGATCACCACTGCAGCCTCACCAGAGGCCGGCAGCCAGACAGACCTTACTCTCTCCCCCGATAGCCCTTATCACCCGGGGAAGGGTCCCTCTACCACACCCAGCTCTCTGGTACTCACACACTAACTCACTAACAACCCATATATACAATGGACTCACAGAGAGCCCTGCTCTCACACCATTGCAGGCTGTTGTCCCTTTAAATCTGCACTCTCGCCTGGCTCCCCTCCGGGACTGCCGCTGTTGTACGGTCCCTTTCGGGCTCCTTCCTCCACAGTCATCTCCAAGACTGCTACCCTGACTGAGACATTCACCCCCTCACCGGGGTTGTAGCTGCTGCCGCCAGTCTGCCATCTATCTTGCCCTCATAAGGCGGAAATGATCGATTAACAGCGTCCCGCTTCAGCCTGGCTCTCATATTGCCGAGCCTCCGCATAAGGGAGATCTAATCTCCCTCGTCCAATCTCTCCTGCAGCCAACTCAGGACTGAGGCCTGCTTGACCTCCTCTCAGGGAAGTGTACGGCACGTTCTCCCACAAACCACTGCCACAGCTGAGGTTCGTTACCAATCACTCTTCTCAGCCGCAGGTTACTGCGGCAACGTGCCTCTCTCTCTCTCAATCAAGAGCTCCGCCTCCATGCCAAACTCACCTCCCATGACTCCACACAAGGTTTTAAGAATGCAGCACTTGAAATATGAAGAATAAGTAGGAAGTGTTCTCGAGACTCCCTGCACAACTACATCCAAGGAATGTGGATTCCTTTATGTTACTTCTGATACTTGGGTACTTCTCAGAGGAGCTGTCAGAGGGGCTGCAACTGTAATTTGGGAAAAATGGAACATTTGGGAATTTCTTTTTGTCGCGATGCCTGCGCCTGCTACACAATGGAAACCCACTATCACATACTGAGTTTCTAATTGACTGTTGGTTGGTGGCTGAAAGTTTCATGTTCTCATGAGGAGTTCATACTGTAAATATTGGTTTCAAAAAGCAACCAAGAGCTTAGATAAAACAAAACAGAAACACTGGACGTTCTTCTGGACCAGGAACCTTCAAGTAATTTAATACATTCTGAGTTTTGCTTACCAGAGAAGCAAAGAAGAAGGTTAAACTATTTGTTTAATTTTAGCTTTTTATCAAGTACTAATCTATTTGAGATTGCAAGTTAACTCTGCTATGGTAAAAGTAAATGGAGATAATAAATATCCATAATCCTGTACTTACCTAATGTTAATAAAGTGAAGCAGATTTAGAAGATTTAAATTGGGCAAATTATTAGTTTGATTAATTAAGGGAGAGCTCGTCCAAAATAAGCCACAGACACAGGGCTCTCAAGAGGGCTGAGCTATTCTGTACCGATGTGAATGGAGAGCCTAGACATCCATCATGACTGTGCTGCAACAATACACACTGAATTAGGCTAAAAGCATAGACCCATCTTCAACATCCATCCCAACAGACCACAAAGCTGCTCTGTCAACAGGCTTCATTTGCTTCAGTTGAATTAAAAGTCATGCATGAGAGTAACACTTAAAGTGGAAAAGTAACAACAAAGAAAAAGGTGTGGCAGAGGGGAAACAGCTGACGGTAATATCAAGTTTACGCGACTGGGTTGAGGCTTTTAGCTCTGAAAGGATTCCATCCCGATATTCTGGTTCAGTATGAGAGTAATGTGAGAGTATGAGTTCGGTGTGAGAGTCAAACCCTATGAAATGCTATGACATACAGTACATTGTCTGTCATTACATGGAAATATGCTAATCATGAATGCACAGACAGAATTAAACAGCAGTTGTGAAACCATTGTGCTCTCTTCACTGTCTTCCAGCCACTCAAAAATAATTTTCTAAACAGGCATTAAAACATAATGACAATCAACAATCAGCCATTTGCTCTTGAGTTTTTCCTCAAGTACCATTTGAGCACGATTATTATAAATCGCAATTGGATGGACAAAAGGGTGAATTGTAGCTGAAGCTGCACAACCAAAGTTATTGGTTTGGCAATCCACATCTTGACATCTTACTTTTGTACAGAGGATTTCAGAAATGTTCTTGAGTCACTTGGCTGATAATCAGTTACATGAAAATGTGCAGTACAGATACAATGCAAGCCAAATGTTTGAAAGTATTGAGTTATGAATTAAAGTTTAAAGATGTAATACAATACTAGTACATGGAGTTTAGGGGAATTCCACATTAATAAAAAAAAACATCTGTCCTGATATCAGTCAAAACATTTTGTAGTAAAAAAAACATATCTTTAGCTTTAATAAGCGAAGCTTTAATTAAAGTAGTAGATTTTTTAAGATTGTTCTAAATGAATTCAAGTTACTATTAAAGGGTGCCTTTCATTGTTTGGCATTATATTTCTATTACACGTGATCTACAAGAGTTGGATGTTTAAGAAGAGCCTGTTTCTTCTTGATTTGTACATAGCATTACTGTATGTAAATCTGCACATTTTTAGAAACATGCTCGGGTCACCCTTCCACTGTACTTCTCTCTTTAACTCTTATGTTTGGTCTTTTTTGGCACAAACGTGACATTTTTTTCCCCAATTTGACCCATACCAAGGTAAGGAAAAAAGGTTGTTTTGTTTTTCAGAAATGTGCTTTGTTCAGAACCACAACAACTGAGGTTCCATTACGGACACCCCAGTGAAAAACGTAAATCGTATAGAAGGGGACCCACTTCATCTTCTGCCAAAGCGCAGCTTTATACCTGGGTGACACATAGCAGCAGTCATGCACCAGCTGCCCCAGTACCTAAGAGGTCAGGAAGGGATGCGAGAAATTGCTTTACTAATAGAAGGCTACTTAATTTAATTATTTTACAACCACATTTCCAATGCCACCATAAGAGTGCGGCTAACATGCATGTTGAAAGAAAGCATGACATCTAGTCTATGTCCATTGTATTGCGTCAAGCTTACAATCAAATGGAAAAAAATAAACCCTGTATAGATTATCAGGTTGGTAAGCATTAAGCCAGCACACAGACAATAAAGTCCACAGAGTTTAAACAGGAAAAACAGGTGGTTGAAGGAGTGAAGGAGGAAACGGCAAACCAGCTAATGCTGTGCCAGGGTTTGGTATAGAGAAACATTCCTGGCCAAATGAGATCAGCTGGGAGAGGAACAGTGAAGAGAAAGAGAGAATTTAAAACTCAACAGTATAAGATGAGACAACAGAGAGCTAGGCCACACAAAGTCACTCAAACTGAAGACTCTAATGTCAAGTGAAGAAAGTCTAGTCCTGAGAAACAAAGCACCTATTTTTTGTATTTGCAAGAAAAACCAGCATTTGACTTCTGAAACAAACACAATTCCCCATTGTTTGCCAAAAATAAAAGAGAGATGAAGTGGAGCTTCAGATTAAAGAAAAATACTGCCAATGAAAACATAATAAGTATTTGTGTTATATAATCTTTCGCATTTCCTGGCCAAATGTCTTATTGGCCCTCACCAATCATGGCCTCCTAATAATTCCCATCTATGAATTGGCTTCATTACTCTGCTCTCCTCCCCACTAATAGCTGATGTGTGGTGAGTGTTCTGGCGCACTAGGTCCACTGTCACATCATCCAGGTGGGACTGCACATTGGTGGTGGTGGAGGGGACTCCCCATTACCTGTAAAGCGCTTTGAGTGGAGTGTCCGGAAAAACGCTATATAAGTGTAAGCAATTATTATTATTATAATTATTTCTCTGTTGACATTCATAACGCATTTATTGTACTTGTATAAAAGAACATTATACTAAAGAGCAAACATATCACATTCCCCAATAAAGCCAGCTCTGAGCAAATGTTAAATGAGTCCAAAGGGACTTCGAAACCACTGCCACTTTTGTTCAAAGCTCACCAGTCAGGGTTTTAGCAACACAGAACAGAATACGTTCAGTGTTGTACTAATGCACAGTGTTATTTTTGTGAACTATAACAAAATAATAATATCCATGCTTCCATTTTCTAACTACTTCATCCAATTCAAGGTCGCAGTGGAGTCGGCAAGCAACAGGCGCAACGCAGCATACAACCTGGATGCCTACGCACAGGCACAAACACACACACTCACACCAGGGCCAGTTTTCCCAGAAGCCAGGTTTCCTAACAGCATGTCTTTAGACTGTGAAAGGAAACTGGAGCACCCGGACAAAAACCCACACAAACTGGGAGAACATATCAAGTGCACGCAGTTAGCACCCCAGAAATAGCACCAATGTCCCCAGCACCGCAAGGCAGCAATGCTAACCACTATGCCACCCAAAACAATAATCCAATAATTGATATATTGCTGAAGTCCCTTGACATAAAAGTGGAAATCAGTGGAGGGTAGTTGTCTAGCATCCTTTGAAACTGAAGCTGTGCACTGTTAACCGCTGAATCAGTAACAACTTAATACAACTGGGAATTCTTTGGCATGGTGCTTTACTACATCAGTCTGTTGTTCTTTAGAATTAAACTATAAATGTCACTTACTGTTGGTGTTTGCCCTGTGAGCAAGGAAGGTAAAGAACTTTAACAGCACCGCTGGCTGCCTGTGATTTATGTTGAGCTGAGGAATTGTCTTCAGATGAAATAAAGGCACTGCCGTTGACAGATGTCTTTGCGGAAGAAATGAGCAGTGTGTCAGTGTTTAAAAGCCAGAGCTGTAAAAACAAAAAGAGAAACTCAGTTCAATGCATAAAACCTATCAGTCTTTAAAGTAATTATTCCTTCACTGTTTGCTATGTAAAAACACATATAGTGCCCTAGACGTAGTCATCCACACAATGATGCAACAAGAAACATCAATCTAAAAATGTTGTACCATAATCTAAATAGCGTTATACAGAGCAAGGAATATTTCTTATAAATAATTAAAATCCAGAAAACAGGAGGATCACATTTATTCACTTTCCTGCAGTTAGTATTTTGCAAATTGTCCTCTGGCAGGGAAAACCCTGCAGGAAATGCCTCCTTTAGTGTCTGAGTTGGTTCTGGTATTTCTGAGAAGGATTTTTGACAGGAAAAAATGTTCTAGGGCCTTTGTTTTCCTTTTATAACCTGGCTTCATGAGTTTGAAGAACAAATGGTCAATTTGGCCAAGTCTAAAGATTGCGATGGTCAGTTGAAAACATGTATTTTCTGGGCCACTTTGTATGTATGCTTATGTTATGTAGAATGTTATTTTATTTAAAGGAATAAATCTGACTCATATTTTCTGGAATTTATTTTTGAAAAACATGATTTTGTTCAGTCCAGTGCTATGAAGATTACAGTATAACATTTTTAGGCAAAAGACATTAGTAACTATTACATACTATTTATTTCCTTTTTCACCTACGGTTTGAATATAAATGAAGGACACTGCATTTACACAGTAAGGGCTTAGAAAGTTTTAAATATCAATAATCTGCTAAAGACAAGTACTGTGAATAGAATTTTTTTTAAAATATGATCATGGCGTTTTCTTAAACCAACCATGTCAGAACATTCTGCAGGTTTCTAATGTTGGAAGTTGCTATAGCTTCCATGGTACAGTATTATATTGGGAAATTTGCATATCCCAGTGTGAAGATTCCAGATCTCTCTGTAATAATTATTTATAAAGGCTAGATAAAAGTTAATTGAAAAAGAACTGATGTTTATTTTAATGATGATACCATCTGCTTTAAGACATCCCTCAAAAATATTGTAATTGTATTGTATTGTAAAGTGTTCTGCACAATGTTAAGGCATCACAAATCACAACTGACTTATTATGTTAGCAGCTTTCACTTGTGAAATAAATCTATGCACATCTTGTGAGTAAATTGATGGAAGCATATCCAAAACTTCATCACCATCTGCACAACACTTCAGCAGTAAACATGCCCTTACCAAAACATATGATTTTCCACTGGGTCCTTGGAGAGAGAAACGAAATGTACTTTGCCTGGCAGACAATTCCACAAGTCTGGCAGCTATAACATGTTCCAGAAACAGGGACCTTTTTCACCAAAATAAGCAACAACAAAGTTTAGTTTACCCTGCATTATCACAAAATCATTTACAGCAGTGTGTTAACCACAATAAACATTGTCCTCTGAAATCATTTCATACAATATAGAATATACACATTATACACTACAAAACATATTTCAAATGATAAATCATTGTAGATTTTCTTAAATGTATATATGGAAAAGAATACATCTAAAAGAAATATGTATATAAATATGTATATATATATAAAATATGTATATAAATATGTATATATTTCTTTAATATAATTTCTCTACACCTTTGTAATGTAAAGGTGTTATGCGGTGTTTCTAAAAGAGCTGTGAACTCATGTGTTTAGCAGAAAAAATCATCAATCTAAAGAATGAATGAAAACCTGAGACCCAAATAAAAAAGTGCTTGTTCAGGTTCCTTTTGTGAAACATTTTAAGGTCATTGCCACTCAGTGACGGCAATGCTCTGTTAAAATTAGAAAAAAAAATGAAAGGAATACCCCAGACCGGTAATGGTAAATGAAGCCAGTTTTCCTCAATTAGAAGTTCACATGGGATATGCATAACACATATTCTTTTAAATGCATGAAGAAAGTTCATACAAATAGGAAAACGTTATTTGACTGTTAATTTTATTTCTGCTAATAAGAAAAAACTCTTTAATGCAATAAAAGCTGAATGCAAAATTAATTACCTGTTTTTTACGTTGGCATTTTCAGTTTCCTTAGAGAGCTGTCTCACAGTCACCTCTGTTATATATAACTTTAGAGTATCTAGAACAAAACCATTTATTAAAGGTAAGCAAATGTTCGGCTTGCAACCAAAATAGACTGATGGCAATTTCTTGATCTGAAGCTACATTTTTTAAATGCCTTTCCCGGAAATAAGGATCATTTTAAAATCTGCTAGGTGACATTTAAAAATACTTTCTGCAAAAGATTGTTCAAGTTAACAGAAGGAACTAAATAACTTAAAATTGTCATCCTTTAATTTTGTTTAAATAATAAAAAGTACCTATAGTACAAAAATAGTGGTATTATTCTGGAACAAAACACAGTCAGTAATTAGAATAAAATGTATAAAATATATAATTTTCATGAGAACTGAGCCCCCAAATCAAAAGAGGTTATGGATAGTTGAAAGAGAAAAGAAAAGACAAGCAATAAGCTAGATGCTTATAAGAAGTCAGGGTTTTCAAGCCCAAGTAATCACTGACAGCTGTTTCTATCAGCTACATGACAACATTCATTACAATTCAATACTTTCATCAGTGCCTGAGATACAGGCTTTGAATACTTTCAGTTTTTTTCTCATGAACTCCCCTAAACCAGGGAGAAAGAAACATTTTTTCCACAATTGTCATTTTGACAGCTGATCTCTGAACCACAAAGAAACAGCATTTCCTTAGGACCCGGGCCTTACACTACATGTCCACTGCTGATACTTCCTCAGCCTGTGATGTAGTGAGAGGAAGGCATCATCTGAGCTCAACACCCTGGGCAAATGGTGGGGCTTTGAACCACCTGGTCAGTGAAAAGAGTGGCACAATAAGACATGGAAAGGCTAAAAGAGTCTACAGCACTTGGAGTGAAAGGAATTCCATGAGAGGGAAGAGAACTGTGAAGACAGCCCGTGCGTGGAATTAGCCATGCTGCTGGCTGTATCCTGCTGGCTGCTGGCTGCTGTGATGCGTATCCTGGCCAGCTGGGAGAAAGAGGTTCAATCGTCACCTGGGCTCCAGCCTGCAAGGAGAGAGGGTGCTCCACAGGGCAGGAACTCTTGCTAGGGATGGATCGGGCGGATGCTGCAATGAGATGTGCCACTGAATGGCTTACAGGACAAGCGCTGAAGTGCATGTGGGAGCATGTGTAAGAGGAAGGCAATGCCCAGGCGAGGTATCCAGGCTAGGGCAGAGGGCAGGATCTCGACAGCACAGGGTGAATCAAGAGTATACCCTGTATCTAATTAGCTGCTGGCTGGTGGGTGGTCAAAAGACTGAAGAAAGGAACCAACAAACTGGCTGTGTCCGTGTCAGGGACGCCGCAGTTTCTTATTAAGGAATATCCCTGGGTCATTCAGCGGAGGAGTAGTGACCAGAAAACAGAGTATGAGAAATGTACAGAGGACGTTGGGTTGAAAACTCGAGTGCTGAGTATCAGACGACAGAAAGAGAGGTGGGAGACCCAAGGCCGATTCAAAATTAACACTACACCTAGTGATGAAAGAGAAAATGTGATGAGGTGGCAGGAGAGAGTCCTGCATATGAGAAAACCTCAGGAAGATGTCTGCTTAGTCTTACCCAAAAGGGAAGAAACAAGAGTCAAGGGTCTGGAAGGGACTAACTCTGCCTCAGGCCTTTACAATTACTCAGTATTATCTCCATAGGAGCCTATCCTAACATCTCCTTTCTCTCCCATGGAGTTCTGCTTACTTACACTTTTTCCATTTACACTTGACTTAAACCAGGTGGCCCCACCACCTGGTTTAAGTCAAGATGGTAGCTCCCTACAGAAGTCCCTTTTTTTACATTTACGTTTCAGTTAGAAATGAAAATTACTCCCAGATTTCACAATAATATTTTGGTGATACAACATAAATATTCTGTACATTAAATTAACAATTAAAAATTATAATGACAAATAGAAGCACAACAATCACATTATATATTTTCTAATGACAAGTTTATATTTGTTACTGCAAGTAGCTAATTATAGGTATTTTCCAGTAAAATAACTTAGTATCATAAATTTGTTTATGAGCCACTTTCAGTGTAAGGAAATTAGAAATTCTGTTCTGGATAATGCAATGATCAAACCAATACATTCTATATAAGATTCTGAAAATGCACATTGCTAGCAGGCTTTGTTACTGCTGTGGTAAAACAGACTGTAGTTGTTTTTATACCCCTATATTCCTGAAAACATACAACAGAAAATATACCAAACAGAATGAGAATTTGTTAGTTGCATGATTTATCTACTCTAAGGACAACTGAACGTTTAGTAACACGGTACCTGGTGATATTTCCTCTCCAAGCACGGCTCTACAGTTCTTACAAATCACTTTGACATTTTCTTTGGGTTTCTGCAGAGGAAATAAAAACAACAAAATTATTGTCATGTCTACCGTAGAGAATATTCTGAATTAAAAAAACTAAATATTTTAAATGAAATCTTCTAAAACATTTACTTGAACTTTTTCTTTAAAACAATTAAAGAAATAATATGTTAAAATCATTTAAATCATGCAAACTGTGTTATATGAGTCTTTTATCCGTTTCGTTGGGGAATGCAGACTTTCCATTGCTCAGCACGACTCAAACCAGAAAAGGGTCAAATCTTTTTCTGTAAATTCACAAATACAACTCTATAACGTAAATGAAGCTTAAATGCAAGAAATTAAACACGATTAAAATGAAATATGAATAACATATGCAAAACAAAAACCTATGCAGAAAAAGCTTTGCAATGAGAGTATTTAGCAATTAAATATCTCCTTTGTAGCCAGGAAAGGATCAGATTAATGAGGTGTTCTTACTTTAAAACAGGCTGCACAAAAGTATTGCCAAAATGGATTATGAGGCCAAGGGTTCAAACTGTATTGGTTGAAACCCATGACATAATCTAGGGTCAGATGAAAGTTTAATGAGTGCAGCTGTACGCTGTAGAGACAGCGTGGTCATTAATCTGCTTTCCAGGTTGCATTGCATTCCTTCAAACTCACAGTCTTTTAAACTCCGTTTATAGATCTGCAGTGCTGCACAGTTTCTGCTGTTTATAATTCAAACCCAAAATGTGTTATCAGGGATGCAAGCTATCAGGTTTCAGGTCATTTACAATGATTGTGCCAGGCTGAAACAATGAGCTTCTGCAATATAAGCAAAGGATTAAGAGCAAAATATGCTTTAATCCTCAGCAGAGCATAATGCTTTCATTACTGCAGAAAACACGAAAACGCTAATTCTTCCATATCTGGCAGTAGGACAACAAGGAAAATGTGTTATCCACAATCTTGAAAAGGGAAGACCGTCTCCATGCTTTTCAATCACATCTAGAATGAGTGTGCATTACTGAACAACATTATTTTGTTGATTGCTAGTGCATAAATATTTTTAGTAAACTGATGCTCGACCTTCAACAGAAGGAAAACTGCATAATTTTGAACAAAAACATTGTATAATTCACTCTCTATCCTATACACATACTGTGACTTGTTTCGGATTGACCTCCACATAGCTACCAACTGCTTTCAACCAACACTTCTTTAAAAAAAAACTTGCTATGTTGCCTGGGAGCATATAATTTTAGCAAGATAATATAAGCAATCTTTCATCTTCAACAAACTATTTATTTTTACAAAAGATACCCGCTATAACTGTGTGTAACACAATAGTGTCAAAGCATCTGAAAAAAAAATGTTGCATATTCAATTTTCATCTAAGTGTATTATGCATAATGCAATGTGCAGACGTAACTACAAAAAGACTCCACAGATAACAACTGCACTGATTGGGTCACTTGAAAATGAATAATTACTTGGCTTTGGCTGACGTCACTTTCCAGTGTTTCTGGCTCCTGAGTTAATGTCCCATTGTTATCCCTCTCCCAGCTCAGCAGAATAAAGGTGTCACCAAGCAAACAGTCCTCCTTCCTCGGCAGCAGCTTCTTCTTGGCGAAGGGATCAGGGTGGCAACACCAGTCGTCCACCAGTGCATTCCAGTTTCCATTGGGCAGGGGAAGCACTCTGTTGAACACCCTGCAATCAAACCAGTCTCCCTCCTCAGTCACAGTGTCTTACTACTACTAGCAGATCTATCTACTAGCAGTCAACTATTTACTAACAGATCTAATCTATTTTAATGGCCATAAGCAATATGCTAAGCAATATTTATATACTACATATGGACACATATGTTGCATGTGCCAATTTTGTGATAGACAATTTTCATATTAAAATGTGTTTTATTTCCCCACGTTGAAAACAAAAAGCACACAAAGGGACAGTGACAACGATTTCAAATCTCACTCACTGAAAACATACTCTTGGAATGGGTTAAAAAGAAAATAAAAAAAATATTTGAAAGTTATAAATCCTATGGAAGTTTTAAAGACTTGTTTGTCTTCTGTGCCTTTCCGACCATCAGTGTAAACATAATTGTATTACAAGACTGACAATTTTATTCTTTAATTTATTTTATGTAAAAATGCTGCCAGCCCTCCTTGCTTCATGCTGTTTAGTGCAAGACAAAACAGATGCTGTCTTACCTCTGAAAGAAAAGCAGATAGCTAAACGCATTTGTCTTAACACTGGGACATTTCAACTGCATTGTTTGCAAAGAGTTCAATTAAACTTCAGTGACTTTCCCTTCAAGTGCTTGTAAATAAATCAACCTCTGCCCTTACCTCTCCATTAGGACCTGCTCCCCACAGGACTGGCAGACAAGACAATAACTCTTCTGAGCTTTCAAACTTTCAATCAAACTTGGAGGTGCTTCTAAACACATTAAAAAAACAAATGAACATTTTTTGTTAACCTTGTACTTGGCAAACCTATGAAATACAGCAGAGCAGAAAACATCCTGAGCTATAAATGACAAGCAATCTGTGCAAAATTGGATTTTGTCTGGCAAGCATTTTCCTGCTGTCCTTGTACAGTTTTTTTTTTATTTTCTCCCATAAACCTAAGATACCCTGCAAGTAAAAGAAAAAGCCTAAATAGTTACTGAATATCTTCTTTGCATGAAATGCTGGGGATTATGAGGGGCATTGTTTTTATAATAACTGTTCACATCAATATGTATCCACCTAACACACACACTGGCATTTATATCTTATCCTGAGACTAAAGTAAATATTGTTAGCTCCAGTCTAAAAGATACTAGAGACTGCCAGCAGCCATGTCACCCTGCAATTCAAACCTGGCAACACACTGAAGCTCAGTACGTGTGAGCCTGGTCAGGACCTGGATGAGAGACCTCCTGGGAAAGCTAAGGTTCATGCTGGAAAAGTTGTTAGTGGGGCCAGTAGGGGGCGTTCAACCTGTGGTCTAATGTGGATCCTTTTGCCCCAGTATAGTGATGGGCACACTATTCTGTAAAAAGGTGCTGTCCTTCTGATGATATGTAAAACCGAGGTCCTGCCTCTCTGTGGTAATTAAAATTCCCAGGGCGTTTCTCAAAAAGAGTAGGGGTGTAACCCTGGTGTCCTGGCCAAATTTCCCATTGGCCTTCACCAATTATGGCCTCCTAATAATCCCCCTCTGTGAATTGGCTTCATCACTCTGTTCTCCTCCCCACTGAGAGCTGATGTGTGGGGAGCGTTCTGGCGCAATATGGCTGCCGTCGCATCATCCAGGTGGGGCTGCACATTGGTGGTGATGGAGGGGAGTCCCCATTACCTGTAAAGTGCTTCGAGTGGAGTGTCCAGAAAAGCACTACATAAGTATAAGCAATTATTATTATTATTGTTTTTTCTGGTTGCTTTTTCAAATGATAAATAATTAACTAGGAGTTATTTCTGACTCTGAATAGAGGCCTTCATAATCATTTAAATTTGAAAGAAAATTAAATTTCCCTCCAACACGAGATAAATAAGAGTTTATTATTGAATAACATACACAATACAAGATGGTGTTGTATAGTTACACCTTATCTCCTTCATCTAATGGATTTATGCAAATAACAAATACAAAAGCACAGCTTTAATTTTATTTTTCCGTTTCTGTGTTGTTAATGTTGTTATCAATTCTTCCATCATAATAAAAGAGTGCCTTAACATTTCACCTGAGATTTGAATTAACTTGTTTTAAAGGCTTTCACTTACCACTAGTGTAGCACAAAATCTGAAGATATTCACATTTTTGTAAACTGCAGCAACTGCAGAACCAAATAGTGACCATGACCTGAGCACATCCATTTTACAACGCAAACATAGCTTTGGGAATGTTTCGATAAGTATATGCCCTGTGATATTTTGCTATCTTTATATTGTTACGTCTTGCTTTCTCTGTTATCCTGGGCAGATCATCATTGTAAATGAGAATCTGTTCTCAATTGCCATATATAATTAAAACAAGGACTCTCCTGGTTAATTTCTTCTTTATATTAAATGGATGCTGGCAACCAAATCTTAAACCTTGAGCTAGGTTTAAGAGTATAAACTCATTTTTATAACTCAGAGAAATCATGCTGGCTCCACAATATTGTAGCCCTGTATAATAGGTTTTGGACATTTACTCAATGGAATAGAAACATTCTTGTTCCTTTTCAATAGACCCCAGACAAGCAAGGCCCTAGCCCCGTACATCGGATATTATCCTCCTCTTTCACACCTGATACTCCGTACCTGTGTCCTGATCAGCATGCAGCTGCATCCTTATGTGAAGCCCATCTCCTGCTGCACTTGGCACTTCCCTGCAGGAATCCTGGATGATGGTGACCCCTGCTGGCAGCTGCAGATCCACCAAGCATCCAGGTGTCTTTATTTCTAGAGACGACGGCCCACACAACAGTTGTACCTCTGACAGGTCTTTGGCAAGGTCTTTGCTGCAATGTTACAGAAAACCGTGATTAACAGGCGGTTTAAGTTCGTATACACATAGCTCTTATGACAGATTTCACAAATCTCTACCCACAGTGGCTCGGTAGTTCCGCAAGTCAGTCAGTTTAGTGTTCCTTCTGACAGGTTTCTGTGATGCAGCTGTGGCTTTGTACTTCATCAAAGTCTCTAGAGTTAAGCAATAAGCGAACCCTTACAGGAATATATATTAAGATTCAGGGGGAAGCCTCGAGCAAGTGCATTACTGCACAACAAATGTTACTTTCAAAACAATATTTCATTTTTCTCACCTTAAATAAAGCAAAATTTACACAGATGGCTTCATATACAAGAATTGTCTAATACCAAGCCTACCTATGATCACAATACAGTACCAAAGAGCATTGAGCCATCCAGGAAAATATACTATACTTGTATTTATTTCAGGATTATTTCATCAGAAGCCCTGAGTAGGTAATTTTGCTCCCTCATTATTTTATGAATCCTTAAATCATAGGAGTTTACCTGTGAAAAAATGGTGGCATGTTATTTGACATGCTCCAAAGTGGCAGGAAAATGTAGTATTAAAACAGAACTACATTTTGACACTACAGACAAAATCTGCTGTGGAAAGAATGTACTGTATCAGTGGTGTGTAGTGATAGACTGTAGGAACCCAGCAAGGACATTAATGGATTGTCTGGCTTAAATTCTATGCAATAATAAGAAAGTTGTTATTGTTACATTACATTAAAAATCCAATAAAATGCAGATATTGAGATATGAAATTGAGATATAAAAGCCACTATTACCAGAGAAAGAACACTAAAATGCTTTTGAAGTGCACCACAGATTCAAGATAAACATTACATTTATTCTATGAGCTTTGACTGTCACACATTTCAATCACCTGTAAATAACTTTCTAAAATTTAAAAATCACACTGCATTAGTTATTGGTGCATTTATGTCAGATTTCCTTACATAAAATATCGAAGCCTAGTTTGTTCAACATTTGCTTGCACTTGAAGAGCAGAAGATGCTCCTATGCTAAATCCACTAAGCAGAAATGTCTAAGTTACACAACAGGTAAAAGCATTGAATCCAAGTACTGCATGAACGCTACAATACAGGCACCATACTGTATGTTCCAGTCTAGGTTACATTAGTAGTCTGCTGTGACTAGGATTCATCTCCATTTACCACATGTGCAATGCCCACTAAATGTATTTATACCCATGAAGAAGCAGTAACAATAAATATCAGTAATAGAAAACTTGACAGATTGGAGAATGTTTCTTGCTTGAAAAATTCTAAAAATGTAATACAATACAGACAAGATGTTTGGGATGTAGCTATGAATCCAAAAGACCAGTTGGAAAACACACTGGTATTTTCAGAACACAAACTGCAGAAACCCACCATTCAAAGTTGCCAGCAAGAATGTGGCTTTTATAGCTTTTGCAAATGAAGTCACCTCTTATAAGAGCCAACCACAAAATATCTTGCCAGACATCATTTCAAAAGACAACTGAAACAATGAAACATTTTTGTGGAGAGTGTATTATCCATCAGAAGGTCCTGGAGTCCTAGTCAAGACAGTGGAAACCATAGACTCCCAAGAGGTACCAGGACATTTGTCCCTAAATACCAGTTCTTTATGTCTGGTTTGCTGTTTATCCCACACTGAAGCTGAATATCTTGCATGTATAAACATAATTATCCTGAAATATTATCCAATACACGGACTGCACTGTGTTGTTACAACAATTCCATGTAGATCAAAGCTCTTTAAATGTGTTCAAAATACTGTAGTGGAATGAGATTACAACGACAATAGCACGTAGATGTCTAAAGATGTCTGTGAATTGGCTTCATTTCTCCGCTCTCCTCCCCACTGAGAGCTGATGTGTGGTGAGCGTTCTGGCGTACTATGGCTGCCGTCGCATCATCCAGGTGGATGCTGCACACTGGTGGTGGTGGAGGGGAGTCCCCACTACCTGTAAAGCGGTTTGAGTGGAGTGTCCAGCGCTATATAAGTGTTAGCAATTATTATTATTATTATTAAAGCTGTAAAGCTGGTTTTTACATTCTTCATATGTGCAGTGTAGTTTTCATTGTGTTACAAATATCACAACCACAGCTTACCTTCTGTGGTTTTTCCCATATACACGCTCCACCATCACCAAATGATTCAGAACAAAGATTCAGTCAAATAAAATACAGCCATTTGTAAATATCTAATGATTATCATCCATATTGATTGTTACACTGCAGTCAGGTTCCCCAGTGACATATAACCATACATAAGGGTCTGGGCAAATGAGCATTTGATGATTGTAATCTAGCTGGTTAAGGTTCTTTTAACAAGCAACTACAGTAATGGACATACACAGAGCGCCCATGCGGTAAACTAAGATTTTTAAAAGGCTTTTAAAAAACTTCCTCATAAAAACATTCTTGCTGCTTCATACACACCACAAATTCTTGGATCACTTAGCTACTGGCATCCAAACAATCTAAATGGGCCAAATGGCCTCCTCTCATTTGTAATCTGTCTTACGTTCTCTGGATCTCCCAGTGATGACCTATTGCTTTTGCATCCAAACTGTGGCTGCTGGTGTGCGGAAGCTACTGTATCATTCATGAGGTGCTCTTGGTCATAAAACAGTGTTGACAGGATCATAGCTGCTTTCTTTTAATTAGTGGAAATGCTACAGTTCAGTGAGAATGATTATATAGGTTATTGTCCTGCTTACTATCTTGCCTGTAGCAATCTTGACTCATAAGCTTGTAATTTGCTCTCTTTCACTTAGCCCTGTTGTCACTGTGCTGTAGTTAAAACCAGAAACCGGATTTCCCCCATCCTGTATGTGCAACAATTATCTTTGCAAGTGAAAACTCACAATCATTGATTTTTGACACCTCTTGTTACACTTTTATACTCACAAGCATTACTAAGCATGGGTTAGTAATTATGTTAATAATTGATTCTACACTGCTGGACTTTATCTAATGAGAAACAAAAAACTCTCTTGCGTTTTTTTTCCAAATTGGTCATGGAAATAAAAACAAGAGAACAAACATTTAAAATACGTTAGAATATGTTGTAAGTTACACATAAAGAATGTGGAAAATTCCTCAATTGTTCTATATAGCCAACATAATGAAGTAACTAGGGGGAGATGAGCTTGAGGCAAAGTTAAGAGTTTAAAATCTGCAAACACCTCTCAGGAACGAGCCCACATTTCCCTCTGCTCTCAGTGAGGCGGACTGCTGATTTATTTTCACGATCTCACCACTCCAGTGCTTCACACTGTGCCAAAGGGCAGGACTGAAGGAGGCCAGGGCCCCCACTGCATTCTGACTGTCAAGGCCAGGCTGTAATTGGCCACTCATAGCTTAATGAAGTGGAATGTCCTTTTCTTTACAAACAATTATTTTAGTTCATGCCTGTGTTTGCTGTTTTAATAAGCGGCTTTATAACAGTTTCCACGAGGAGCTGGACAATTTAAAAGCTCTGTGTTTTAAGACACTCGTAGAATGAATACTGTTTTTGTTTTTAAATAGGACAATTGTAAAAAATATAAATATTTAAGTTCATAGTGAGGTTTCAATTGACATTAAATACATCAGAACATTTCTCATTAACATACGAACATTGATACCAAAATATGAGGATCGGGCTCAAATCTGTAGAGATGTAGGGAAAAGCTTTAGCCTTTTCCCAGATTTAAGATCATGTACAATGATTTATTGGGGATCAGGAGAAGTGTACCCAGTATTGGTCCTACATAACAATATCAGGAGTTTATATTCAGTTTCAGCATCCACTTTCTAACCTGTTCTTCTAGTTCAGGGTTACTGGGGAGCTGGAGCATATCCCAGCAATCAACTGGTACAAGGCAGAGTACACCCTGCACTGGACGCCAGTCCATCACAGGACAGGCACGTAGACACAGATACGTGCACACTCTTCCCTGAAGCCCATTTTCCCAGAAGCTAATTGACAGTACCTTTTTGGACTGTGAGAGGAATACGGAGCACCCAGAGGAAACCCACATGATCCAGGGCAGAACATGCAAACTCCACACAGATAGAAACCCAAGTGTGGAACTGAACCCTAGTCCCAGCACTGTGAGACAGCAATGCTAACCACTGCATCACCATGCCACCCTCAGGTACATCAGTGTAATGAAAATCTTTAGAGTTGTATCATTTTTGACTGGGCATTAATCATTCTATTTAAATAATAGACAATGTATTCTTGCAACCATAAAATATTTCTCGCGGAATTTTCTTTAACATATTTGGATAAAGTGAATGAAAATGAGGGAACTCATTTTGCAAATCCTTTGGTTATGACAGCCATTGCACATCAAATGTTCTTGTAAAGTGCGTGCAGAACTTTCAGAAAATGACCTTCACGCCGGGAAGAGTCAGGTGTTTTGGAGCTAGTGTTTGGTCTAAACTGTATAGCTGCACTTGATTATTTCACATTGCCTTTGCTGCTGGTGGCAACTATGTTCTTTGAAGCATAAAAGATCTAGAGCTACACGGCAGATCCTAAGCCCTATGCAATTATTTCCTTTGTACAAAGTAATATGTCTCTTACCACTTTCAAGACAGGCCTACCCCCAGAAAAACACATCTCATCTCTATCTCCTCATCTCAGACCCTACGGGACATTGCAACGGGGACTATGACAGGGCACTGGCAGAGCAATGCTGTGAGAGTAAGAGAGGAAGCGGCCACACACAATTAACAAGACGTGGTGAAACCAGGGATCAGGACATTACCACAGGGCACATGGCAGGCAAAAAAGAGACGCAAGCAACAACAGATGTTTACTCAATAATTCATTGAGAAAAACAACTGTTAATTGAAGACTTTCCTACAAAGAACCACTGTTTACAGATCCAGTGAAAGGTACCTGTAATCAGCTTTGCAGCAGCTGCCATTTGCAATTGGAGACTTGAAGGTAGAGTAAGGGGGGGAAAAAGTAAAGGCTGGAGCAAGATAAAGGTAACCAGAAAACTGAAACCTCTAGTAAAGAAAAATAACTGCACAACTAAGGGTCCTCGGTCATTTTGAAGATTTAGAACAGACATACATCTTTGTGTATTGTTGAGGACAAGGTGAAACACTAAGCCTAGTGAAACATAGTGTACAGTATACAATAATTAAAAGGGAATACAGGCAAAAAACGTCCAAGATACCATACAATTCAATTCAAGGTACCAAAAAAAAAACACTGCCACAATTTTCAGCAAACTATATGAATTACTGTCAAACTGTATTAGCCATTACTTCATATTGGTAGAGAAAATCACTGCTAAAACCCAATACAAATATTCCACACTCAATGTGAATGGAAAGGTACAGCACTGACACAGTTTACAGTCACAGGTTCAAAACTGGTACACATGTACAGTTTAAGTAATTCTTAAACGTCTAAGTAATTCTTAAACTGCAAGACATTTGTATTCAGGGTAATTAATGTTTCTGGTTTGAGAACTGTTTGAGAGAAAAAACAGGGAATACAGGATCGCACAAACAAGCTATAATTATAAGATATGAAACACTGAGCAAGAAGTGATCCATGAAGAAGTATTAAAAGTCTATAATGACAGAATTGTCATCTTCTAAGCAACTATACAATGCACTAGAATAAACTGTTAGAATATTGCAAACAAATACGGTCATTAGAAAAAAATATAACTGGAATCAGTCCGTTGAAGAGAGACCAGATACAATCCTGAGCTTAAAGAAATACCCTACACTGAAAAGCAAAAGAATATTTAATATTTTTTGTCATAAATACAGAAGACTAAAATGTGATCTAACTCAAGTATGTGAAATTCTCACAGGTAGCGAGAAAGCCAACCCATTTAACTCAGGATAAAAAAATGAACCATGACTCATAGGACACGAGTGAAAACTACAAAAAAGCTCATTTAAAATTGAGAATAGAAGGCACATTCTCAATATAAAAGTCGGGAGTAAGGAACAAGCTACCCAGCCATGCTGTCAAAGCTAATACCTTGACTTTTTTTTAAAAAAGGTTGCCTGGATGAGATCCTCAGATTAGCTACTGGGCGAGATCGGCCTTAATTCAGATAAACTTTCTACAATTTTTAATTCATCCTAGCAGTGTGTCATGAAGCAAATAGTTTGCCCAGGGCATTCCCTATGCACTGATTCAAGGCAACATGAGGCAAAGGCACTGAGGTATTATTCTCAAGAGGAGTACTTGCACCACTCCTTCTTATTCACAGACTAACAAGTTGGAAAAACATAACCAGCAGACCCTAAAGACCTCTGTGAATGACACAAGCGGAGAGCAAGAGCAACATCTGCAGAAACTTCTCGTTATTCACACGATTGAAGGCATTCCAAGAACACACAGGGATCTCATCCTTTGATGTGATTAAGGCAGGAGTGAGACAGCTCTGTGATATGCTGGATACTGAAGGTACAGAAGGTGTAAAGTACATCAGATCACAAACGGCTTCCAAGCTGCAAAGGCCTTTAACATCATCTTTGGATCAGCACCCCTTACAAACGTTAGGAAGGAAATCCTCCATGTGCTTGCAAGAGTAAAAGAAGACCGATGTTATTACTGATCCAAGACAATGATACACAACTATCCAACTACAGGAGAGGGTGGATGGTGCTATACACATAACAATGTTAGGCCACAGCAACAGCCACAGGAAGCCAAAGAGCTTATGACATGCTGGACCACATTCAAATTACTCCCTTTATCACATCAGTTCAGCACTGGCTGTTTTTCAGCTCGACTGGTTTTAGGATGAATATCAAAAATACACACTTGCCACTTTTCAAATAATGTGGTCCTTTACAGTATCAGCTCAGATCATCATCTCAGACTCTCGGGAATGTTTTGGCTAGGACTAGGAAAGCAGGACTTACAATTAATGGAAAGATCATATGTTGGAAACATCTGAAGAGTAATACTTAGGTTACAGCTTTGACATCAATATTCCACTAGCACAGAGTCCACAAGGTTAATAACATTGGGGAACGCCTTCAAGCAGCCAGGAGAAAATCCTTTCTTGATTTGATAAATACCATTCATTCTAGTATCTACAAACTCTGAAGCAGCAGCAATGCTTGTTTGAACACTAGCAGCTGAGAATTAACGAGTGCAACTGAAGAACCTGATTAGATGTGATCCTGTGCTACACAACATGACTTCACTCAGCCCTTTGGTATCTACTGTACGTGGACATGCCATGCGGATCTGGGGTACTGTCTGTGTGGAGTTGGTATTTTCAACCCATGTTTGCGTGGGTTTCCACCAGGTGCTCCATTTTCCCCTCAGAATCCACAGACGTACTGGTAGGGTTCAATGTTTTTTGGGAAAACTGGCCCTAGGTATAAGTGTGTGCAGTTATGTCTGCCCTGAAATGGACTGGTGCTCCATCCAGGGTGTTCCTCACCTTGAAAGCATTGCATGCCAAGCTCCAGAACCCCCGTGACCCTGAATTGGATGAAGCTGTTAAGGAAATGGATGGATAGAATGATAAATAAACCCACCTGGTTTCCAAAAAGTATAGGTGTCCCCAGCAGTACCACCGACATCAATGGATCCGGGGATGAAAAGGAGAAAGAAATTATACTCTTTTAAGAAGTGATGATTTAGTGAGGCTCTAAATATTAAGATACATACACATGCATATTTTTAAAACATGCAAAGAAACCAGATAAACATTAAATGCGTTCCAGAAAAAAAATCTCACACTGCCATCTGGTGGCAAAGAAAGGATCTGGACTCTTTACCTATATTATCCAGAGACGGTAATATAGGTATCCCCAGTAATTTTAATTACTAACCAAACAATAAATGATATTTTAGAACAGAGGAAATTATTGTTTATTTAAGTTGTATCTGAGTGGTTTTTTTTATAAATGAATTATGTATATGTAATTTTTGTCTTTCATAAATGTGTTTAATAGTTTCAGTGAATGCCCTCTTTGTCTTTTGACCCACTTCCTTAAGCACCTTGCAAGAAAATCGTGATTATCAACAGGTTGATAACGTTGCTTTCAAGTGCCATTTAGTATCATAAGGACTCAGGAGCATCATAATGTTTTCAGTGTTTCTGAAAAACATCTAACTCTTCAAACACCTAATTCTAAATGCAAAAAAATTACTTAAATTTCTTAAAGTTGATTTCTTATTTATTCACTTCATAATTCTTTTTTCTAAGTTTTATGCTTATCACGTCCACTTTCACATAAGAGATAATAAGCACCACCACAAAAAGTATAAAAAGACATTCATATTTTCACACACAATGTCTTACCATACAAATCACAGCAATGGTTCCATTTCATTAATAGGAGCAAGACATGGACTATATGGACTAGTTGTAACATCATATACACCTTTTGTGAGACATGTCAGCAATTCCATCAAGAGGAGATTTACAGTGATGGGTCATAAGAGTTGTGACAAATTCAAAATTCATGAATAAGCAGTTTAAAGCCTTTTATATTTACATTTACACAACATTGCCAGACAGTTTGATATATAGTTTTCACATAATAGGGATTTGTAAGCACAAGCATATCATTGAAAAAGTCTCGTCACACTTAAAATGTCACGCGTGCTCTTTTAACAGATGGATCTAAGATGTGAATGAAGTTCTAACTTTGGAAACAAAAGTGAACATAAACATTTTCATAACTGTAACAATTATTTAACATGTCCTTCTTGTTTTCAACATTGAATTGGGGGTGTACCAGACTGACTTGTCTTTTTAACCACAAATACTGCCCAAAAACTTTTATGTTGAGATACTTCTAGGTTATGAAGTTTCAGGATCTAGCAATTGTAGCCCCAATTTCTAAAAATAAATCTCACACTGATATTTTGCTTCGTTTCTGTTTGTCTCGGCTACTGACGATGCATGCATTCAAACACAAAGTAGCCAAACAAACGAATTAAATTGTCATTAACTTGTTTCATTATTCACTTGTTTAAAAAGTTTATCAATTGTGAAAGGATGCTAAATATAATCGTGAGTTTATTATCTGTTCTTATCTGAACTCTTATTTTCTTTTCATTTCTGATATTGCAAGTGTAAAGGTAACTAAAAATAGGCTGTATTCATTATATTTGAATCAAGTTAAAATCACCGAATATTAAAGAAAATCGAAACATCAAATGTAAAGTAATAGCTTTATCTGAAAACACGAGATGTAATACTTGAAACTGGAACCTAATTTATTACTTTCAATACAGCATGTAGCACACTAATAAAATATTGAAAAATGGATTAACCTTAAGACCAAAAGTCCGCTTTGCAGTCGTGTTCTCAACTCCAAAAAGAATCCACTCTGATTTTCTGTTTTATCCATTATTTATTTTGTTTTAATATGATGGTTTTTAAACAATCACAGTCTACCACAATCTTCACTTCACCACACGTTTGGAATCATCAACAAACCCCTCATGAATCCGGAAGAAAATTGCCGCCAGGGTCAGAGGTTATGAAAGCCTAGAGCAAGCGGTAAAGAATTGTACAGCGACATCTGCGGTGAGTGTCTGTAACTGCTTCTCATGGCAGCAAACTGAAAAAAATCGATTTTGCTTCTTTATTGTAATTAAAATCTTTTTAAAGGAGAGGGAAAATAAAGTAAATTAATTCGAAGATATATATATATAATAAAAACACCACCTTTAAAATAACTTTATATACAATTTAAATCATATATACACAGAATTGACTGATTAAGAGTATAATTAAATATGGAGCAGGGTTCTCAAGCTCGATTCCTGTGTCAAGTTACACTGTTATATCATTGTCTTATATGTCCATCCATCAATTTTCTAACCTCTTCATCCCTTTCGGTGTCACGGTAGCCCGCAGCTATACTAGCAAGAAATGGACGCAGTCGATCATGGGTCACACAAAGACATGCACACACTCGCATCACACACCAATTTTCATAGAGTATACCGTATACCTACTAATACGATCATGGAGAGGAAGTATAAACAGTGAATTAGTTAATTGCACCACCATTAACTATACATATTTACAGTTTTGAGAAAACTGAATTATATTGTTTTCTGCATGAATGGCTCCTAAAATGTGATCTGATCTTAGTCTAAGTCAGGATAATAAATACAGTCTTATTTACCAAACGACACAACATTTTACATTGCCATATCTTTATTCAACAAATGATTTAAACAATGTGTAGTAACTAGTGGAACCTTCTTTATTGGCAATAACCTCAACCAAAAGCTTTCTATAGCTGCTGATCAGGCCTGTGCAGCACTTAGGAGGTATTTTTGGCCCATTCCTCTATACAACACTGTTTTAGTTCATGTTTATTTTTGGGATGTCTTGCTTGAATGGCCTGCTTCAGATCACACCACAGCATTTAAATGGGATTGAGGTCAGGACTACAATTTGGCCATTCTAAAATACAAATTTCTTCTGTTTGAGCCACTCTGTTGTTGATTATGTCATTGTCACGTTGCATGACCCAACTTCTTTTGAGTTTTAGATCACAGACAGACACCCTGACATCCTGCTGTAGAATTTCCTGATACAACTTGGAATTCATTGGTCCCTCAATGATTGCAAGCTGTCCAGGCCCTGAGGCTGCAAAGCAGCCCCTCACCCTTATACTCTCTCCACCCTGCTTCATAGTTGGGATGAGGTTTTGGTGTTAATATGCACCAAACATAATACTGTGTACATTTACCAAAAAGAAAAACTTTTGTCTCATCTGTCCACAGAACATTGTTACAGTAGTGTTGTGGAACATCCAGGTGGTCTTAAGCAAACTTGAGACGGGCAGCAATGTTTTTTTTTTTTGGAGAGCAGTGGTTTCCTCCATAATAACCTCCCATGAACACCACTCTTGTTCAGTGTTTTTCTTATGGTACACTCATGAACACAGAAATTATCAAGTGCAAGAGATGCCTGTAGATCCTTAGCCGTCACCCTAGGGTTCTTTGTCACTTGAAGATTATACGGCATGCCCTTGCACTAATCTTTGTAGGACTCCCACTCCTGGGGAGAGTACCAACAGTGGTGAATTTCTTCCAGTTGTAAACTATCTGCCCGACTGTGGACTGATGGAGGCCCAAGTCTTTAGAAATCCTTTTGTAACCCTTTCCAATCTTATGAGTTTTAACAACCCTTCTTCTGAGGTCCTCTGAAATCTCTTTCGATCTGGCCATGTTGCACTTCAACAAAATTCTGTCATAAAAAGCAAGTAACCCCTTGTGTGATTTTTTATATGGCAGGGCAAGTCAAACCCACACCTGAATCGATTGGAACACCTGACTCCAATTACCCTCTTTTCAAGATGTCATTATCCTAGAGATCCACCTACTTTTTCCATCAGTAGCCTTGATTGTTTAAACCATTGGTTCAATAAAGATATTACAATGTAAAATGCTGTGTGTAGCACCCTAAGAAGGCTCCACAGCTGAAACGTTGTGTTTTTCTTCTCTTTTCAGAATTGGAATAAACCTTTACTTGTTCCTTTGCATACTGACTATAGTTTCTAATCTAAATATAAACTTGTTTACAGACTAAAATAACCAAAATATTTCAAATGTATTTGCAGATCATATATTACGATGAGACTGCCAGCTTTCCTGTAAAGATACAGTAAATATTCGTTATTTAAGATGCTTCACTTTACCACCAGATGGCATCCGGCTCACGCCACCTGCTGGCCGATCATGAAAGCAGCGGTTTCGATTTACGAAAAATAGAAACTAAAAGTGGAAAATTAAAAACAAAAGTTATGGGTGTGTGCGTCACATATAAATATGAATTAATTAACTGCTTGGTTGGAATATTTCTAAATAGTCTCGTGTGTGTTTTAGGTAAATGCAAGTTCAATTAACTAATATAAAACCTATAAATCCCGACTAATAAACTAATAAGAGTAACTGATCAGGTTGTCTTTTCGAAAGACATAAAGACACTGGGCCCCGCAGTGTATGATACGGATACCATATTACATTATTTGAAAAACACGAATTCATTGCAATTTAGACTTTTAGCAAGTGCTTTCAAGCAGTGTGAGAGAGTACAAGATCCCTTCAACTCTGAGTCTCCGAGGTTGGCAGACTCACCAACTGGAGTGGAGAGGGGGGACCAACTACTTCTCGTCATGCAGCACACAGCTTGTATACTATGTACAGTGTACATTTGGTGGAATATCATGTGAAGCATGATTTTCCATCTTGTATTTAAGTCCTAGCTTTTGTGATAGTGTTGCACTTCAGGAATGAAACGAAGTATCACTCTCTTTTAAATGAGGTTCACGCGGTTGGTTTAAAACGCAGCCTCGCTCGCGCCGATTGCTGGCCGTTAAGTAAATATGCAGTCGATCCACACATATTATTACCACCACCACCAATAATAATAATAATAATAATAATAATAATAATAATAATAATAATAATGGAACAGGTAAATTAAATTACTTAAATTTACAGTGATCCATTTATCACCATCGCTTTATTTAACTAGACCACTTATGGTAATACTTTAACAGGGAAGTCGCTATCAGTCTTCTTGTTACTTTGACAAACGCTGAGTGTTACAAGTTCACAACTACAGTACTCGGATCGGTCGCGATCGGTGCGGAACCTTTCAGCAGGGGTGCGCGCAGAGTCGGGAGCCGTGAGTGCGGACCACGAGCCGCAGTGCTGTCTGGGAGCTGTCAGCTGGACTTGGGCTTTGTGTGTCATAGTCATAGATCTGCAGTCGGGGCAGAGAGGAAATCAGGGATGAGCTGCCCGGGCGTCCTGTGGCATGTTTACGACATTCTGCTGACCCGGAATGATGTAGGATACCCACACGTTTTACTGGATTACGTAGTTTCTTTTCTGCTCTAGTACCAGCGTTTTTCCGAGTGACAAGGGCCCTATATTTCTTGAATTGCTGTTATTCAGTGTTAAGTCCCTGCCCTAGCGTAGACAACCTTGTTTTTCTTTCATATATTTATTGGGTGGTTCATAACCTACAGACGGTAAGCACACTTTATATCGGCATACATATTTAAATGACGTTTTTTTGTACATCTTTTTAACTGAAACTGATTGTATGAGAGCACGACTTTTTTTTTAGACAAGATTGCTTCTTGGTGAAGATGCTGTGACATGACAGTTACAGATCTATTATGATGAAAAGATCCCTAAAATAAAGGCGACATCCATTTTTCTTGCGATCTGTAACTAAAATGTGTTAGTATATAAATCCAGCTGTTTCCGTTTTTAACACAAACACGTTTTCCTTTTAGCTATGGATGCCTTAATACAGAAAAGAGCATTCTTATTCATCTATAATAATCATATATTGACCATTTTGTGTCGCAGGCCGAATCGAAATACGAGTACCGTGCTTCTAGTTTATTGTCATCGACATCTGGTGATACAAATGCAGGAGTAAAAGCAAAGACTTCCTTCAAGTGCCGGAATCATTGAGTGGCTCTGTTACAGTGCTTTAGAATATTATGCTCAAAGCTTTGGTCCTGGAAAGAAGAATAGTAGGAATTCTTTATTTTCTTCGACAAATATATATATATAGTTATGCATTTGAGCATATATTTCATTTTAAAATATTTTTTTTTCTTGCGAAGTAGAATGCCCTTTGAATATGTATCACTGTTTGAACTGCAGTACTTTTACCACTACTGGTATTTCCACAGCTCTGTATGATACGCTTTTTCATGTGCTGTCATCCTCAATTCCTTTAAGGGAACATTGTTACCTGGACAGCTACATGCTAACGACTTCTTTGGCTTATGTACCAATGGGCACATCAGTCATTCTGAAAACTGAAACATGATTCATTGAACTCTGCAGTCTTTTGTCATTTATTGAAAATCGGCCCAAGACTTGTGTGTTGTACACCACAAATGCTGACGATAGGATTTGGAGAAATGCACCAATCCAAGTGCATAGGAAGTGATACTAATTTCAGTTCTCGGTGCTTTGGAGGAAAGTACTGATGTTTTGTTTTCAACGGTAGGAACTGTAATGATATACGTTCAAACATCCCTGAGTTAATGATGTTAAGTTAACACGTTCTTGTACAGGTGAATAGTCCCTTTGAACTTTAGGAATGTTCAAGACAGAAGTTAAGGAGCCCACAGTTATATGATGTATTGCCCCAAACAATAAGTAGCACATGAGAATGGAGACAAATAGGATTCACGTGCACATACATGAAGCAAATGTAGATTGTGACTTGAATAGTGAAATTGTATTGGTTCTTGATATTTTTCAAGCTTGAAAATATATTTTCTATGTTTTTGCCAGCCTTGTTGCAAACTGTTGGCATCCTTGCATATAAGTATGATTTAATCTTTTAGCTGACATCTACCATTTCTCTAGCATGAGCATGGCAGAACTCAAAGTGTCACACACTTAAACATGTTTGCAGATTCTACAAGAGTGCTGATTTAATCTTATCAATGTTTTCAGACATTTATGAATTTCATAAAAGGGACTTCAGTGTTAATTACATATTCATTCAGTGCTGAAGTGCAGCATTCTGCTTCACTATTTGATATAAAGAACTGATAAAATACTTTATTATTAATCATATTACAGTCCTATTTTCAGAAAACACTCTGTGAAACATTAGCTAAATGTTCATTGGGACCCTTAAAATATTACACATGGTATTTATCACTTTTTATATCCATGCAAAAATGGCTAAAACATTTTTCAGGTATATTTAAGCAAGGTTATTGAATTTCATTTTATATTCAATAATCTCTTTAGACTTTAAGCAGAATTGTGGCAATACACTGTAAATGAAGCACCCTCCACATGTGTTCAAGTCTTGAAAGACACAGAAACAAAAACATATATTAGATTTATGGATTGGATGTGTTCCGCTGGAGAAATTCAAAAAGTGTCATGCTGTAATCCTAATAGATTTGTAAAGCGCATTCTTTACAATGGATTATCAGTGGAAAAGTCACAAATAACTGAATTCCAGAAAACACAAAGGTCAGTATTTATTCGTGCCCTAGGAGTTTTTTGTAGAAGACATTTTGTAAGTCCTCCCCTGGCAGCGATTACACTGCGACATGTAGTTCATGACTCCCCATATCTTATCAAGGGCTGCAGGATTTGTAGATGTACAACAACCTCAAAACATATTAGACACCCTGTCATATTTCACAGGGGGCATAAGGTCTGTCTCAACATGAGCTTCATCATTTGTATGCCAAACATAAAGCTTATGAGCATGTTTAAATAGATTAGTTTTGTGATGTGTGGATTTGCTTTACAATTTTTGGAGATCTTTATGTTCAGCCATAAAAGTGTTCATTTTGACCATTCATGTTTTGAATAAATATATTTACAGGAATACTTAGAGGTGTGAATACATTTGACCCCTATTTTTATTTTGGAATTCAGTTAATTATGATTGCTTTGCATATTTCTATTACATTTCGTAATTTTCATTTTAAACAAGACACATTATCCTTTCCGTAACTCATTCTGCATTGTAATGTTATTGTTTTTGTTTCATTGGATGTATATAATAATTCTGCAGGGTACTGTGCATGCTTCCTTTTTTGTTTCTAAAACGTTAATGACTCAAAAATGGCAGTTAAAACCCATGTGCATATTTTGATGGGGTTTCCATTTAATTTGTGTCTATTTTTAGGTGATGATTTTACATGAGCCAGGGGCTGGTCAGTAGCAGTATTCTACAGGAGGATGAATGCAGAGGAATCGGAGTTGCTAAGTGACTCCAAGTACAGGAACTATGTAGCCGCCGTGGACAAAGCCCTTAAAAGCTTTGAGTATTCAAGCGAATGGGCAGATCTGATATCTGCGCTGGGGAAGCTTAATAAGGTAATCACACCATTTGTCCACTAAAATCCCTTTAATACAGTCAGTAGAGTGGAGCTGGTTTGGCGGGTGTTTTCTTGTTCTGTGCTACAGATTAACCCCTTCAGATTATAATATCTTTGAAAACGAGTAAGCTGCTTAAATGTGGATGAGTGAGAAGTGGGGTTTCTGTTGATTGTGTAAGGACTGCCTCCATTTTACAGGCATTATGTTGGGGTGCCTTAATAATTAAATGACAATTTTTGTGGCGTGGCTTAACACTCATTCACAGTTCTAAATTGAGGTTCCAACAATAGGTCCCATCTCGCTTATTAACATATAACTTGTTGAATAAGAGTTTTATTGTTGAGCATACACCCTATGCCAACAAACCAATTTTGCTTTCTTATTCTTATTCCCTTTAGGAGCTTTTGGTTCAGGAAGCTTAGACCACTACCATGAGAGGCAGCCTGTCACTAAGAAAAGGCTGTTGTCCTATAATTAGACCACATAAATGAATACTTTTTGTAAATTATAAAATTATTGAGGAACTATGCTGATGTTCTTTCCCCTTAAGGAAACACTAGGACTTAAACTGCAGTATGTTTGGCACTAATTGGTATTTACTTTCTCCAGTGTATGTTGCACTTTGACATTGCTTTCCCCATTGCTTTGACATTGAATAATTTGATATGAAAAGTGAAGTGAGTTATAAGGGAATACTTTATACAAAGCACACTATTGATTATTAGTGAATGTATTCATATTATGTAATATTATGTAATTTACAATTACATAATATTATGTAATTTAGCTGTTTTCTGAAAGAATCAGCAAAGACTTAATTATTTTTGCTGAATAATCTTGTAGATCCTTGTAGCAGCACAAGATGTTTAATTTTCTTTTCTTTGTCAGGTTTTGCAGAACAATGCTAAGTACCAGGTTGTGCCCAAAAAACTAACAATTGGGAAACGCCTTGCACAATGCCTTCACCCAGCACTGCCCAGTGGAGTCCATCGCAAAGCCCTGGAGACCTACGAAATTATCTTCAAGATTATTGGGCCGAAAAGGCTGGCCAAAGACCTCTTCTTATATAGGTGCGTGCCCCTATACACAGTGGATATAAAAAGTCTACGCACCGTTATTCAAATTGCAGGTTTTTGTGAAGTAAAGCCAGAAATCAAGATAAATCATGTCAGACATTTTTCCATCTTTAATGTGACCTTGCAACCAGCACAATTAAAGAGATAAACAAATAGATAATTATTAGGAAAAATAATTGAAATTAAAAATATCCACTGTATGTAGTGAAATAAGACGATATTGCAACTCACAGTGAAGCATTCATTACTGAAGAAGAATATTTATGATATCAAGTGACTAGCAATATGTGATGTTTTGGTTTTTCATACAGTCAAGCAATTTACATTCTTTTTGTCTGTTTCTTTTCTTCACTTATAATGTTGGCATAGGTTTTACAGAACTTTTTCATTGTTTTGGGGGATTTTTGCATGATCGTTCTGTTGATGGTTTAGACTTGATAACTCTGCATAATCAGAATATTCAGCGTTGTTAAGTTTTCCAAGAACAAATAGATTGTTATTGGGATTGATTAAAAGACAATATATTAACATGTTTACTGTTTCAGTTGAAGAAAGGAGAGCACCCATGAAAAAAATACCATTTTATATATATATATTGACTTTTCATTTTGTCAGCTCTGGACTGTTCCCTCTTCTTACCAATGCGGCCATGTCTGTCAAGCCTGCTCTCCTTGGCCTTTATGAGACCTACTATCTGCCACTGGGCAAAACTCTCAAACCAGGACTGCAGGGGCTGCTGACTGGAGTGCTGCCAGGATTGGAGGAAGGGTCAGAGTACTACGACAGGTAAAGACGTATTTTGCACAAGCGAGAACTTTTACATAGGAATATATGTTGTCTTAATATTAATTCAACAGTTTCTATGTTTAAGTGCAACCTTGTGTGCGATATACCAATGTTTTACACTGCCCTTTTAAAAAGATCTCAGGACACCTGTTTCCTATCTCATAGACGTGGTGTTTTTTTGTTCTAGGGCGTTTTATTAGTGGTTATGCTAAGAAAGAATTCTTATCATGTTCTGGCAGGGTGTCCCTAGTGGTTAATGCATATAACCACAACCTCGTGTTATAGTGGCAGACGGGCACAGAGCTAAAGAAAACTAGCAGTGCACACTTCTATTCAACCTGGCAATCATTACATTAACAGACGTTACCGAGCATGATTTAACAAGGCGGGCTTATCCCTTTTACAGTCTGAAAAAAAGACAACTCAGCTATCAAACAAATCACCCATGTCTAATGTCCACTCAGTGAAAAGCATGTGTACATCATGAAATGATAGATTTAAAAGAGCTCTACAATAGGGACCCATTAGAAATAAACGTTCAGAAATTTAATGGATGGGGTCACAGACACGTCCAAACACACTTCTTTTTCAAGTAAAGTGGCATCTTAAAATTGCCTGCATTTGGCATTCTTCATTGCTGAACTGGTTACAGTATGTTATGCCATACCTAATCTCTATCCTACACTAACCAGAATATTAGCAAAATCAAAACCTTGAGGGGGGAAGCTCTGGCTGATTGACCTTGAATTTTATTTTATTTTTTACCATTACCTTAAAACACTTAATCGATATGTTTGATGATGGTAAAAGATTAGATTTCAACCGGGCTTCAATGAACTTGTGTCTCCGGTGTATTGTATAGACTTCATTACGTTTTGGGCTTCGTCTCTTTTTGGTTTTCCTGTGTGATCTTCTTTGGTGCTGTGTTTCCTTTTGAAAAGAACAATGGGGGAATCTGGTGAGTTTAAATGGCGCGGTGCAGACAGAACTCTCAGCTGGAACACAGGGCAGGCTGCAGTATGCTGTCACGCGGGCTGTGCGCGCGCGTTTGGAATTTTTAACAGAAGTTTTGATGCGTGCCCAGGTTCACGCGGTTCACTCTCTGTCTGCCAGAACGAACACCTTGCTGGAGAAGGTTGCCGCAGCCGTGGAGCAGTCGGCCTTCTACAGCGCGCTATGGGGCAGCATCCTGACCAGCCCCGCGGTCCGGCTGCCAGGCATCACATTCGTGCTTTTACATCTCAACCGCAAGCTGTCCATGGAAGACCAACTTTATATCATCGGCAGCGACATTGAGCTCATGGTAAAGAGGTTGTTTTTTTTTTCCCTGAAAATGTGTGTGTTCGCTTCATGGTCACGGGAGTGATTTAATTTCATGTGAGGGGCCTTTCCCATTCCCAGCTGCTTCGGGATCAGTTCTGTTTTACACCCTTGGCCATTGGTACAGTGGATTTTGAAGAAGGAAATATGGTGAGGGCCAGGGTTCAACGTTTCAGTTTAGAGAGAAGAAAATATTCTGTAGTTGCTAATTAAAGGATATTCGCCTTTCAGCCATTCATTGAAGCCCTGGAATGTATTTGGTTTCTCTCCTCTGTAAAGATTTCAGAGCAGCAAAGTGTTTTTGTAACACTGTGACCACATTGTTACACAGTTTCCTCACTCAATGAGGTTTAACTAGTGCATTGTACAATTTCTGTTAAATATTACATTCCTGTATTTTGAATTATGTTATTTTAACTGTACAGTATATCATAACATTCTTCTTACATTTTTTTATTGCTTCCCGAACATGGTCTTGATTCTAGATACAGAAAATAATATGCCAACATAAACACCTTCTTCAAGCTTAACGTTTCCTATCTCATAATCCATGTGAAGGTGTTTTTTTACCTTCATGTGATACTTTGTGCTTCCCTACATTACATGTCATCTGCCAGGTGTTTGCTCAGTCTAAAATTCAATTTAAGTACTTTTGATTTTTCTTTGCAACGTCTACTGTGTTTCCTTATATTCCTAATTTGGTATCATATGTAAGCCTAACCTATCAACTATACCAGAATCTAGATCAGTGATCTGATGTCAAGCAGTCATCCTAATACAAATCCCTGCAATACCACACTTATTATTTCACCCCAATATTAGCATTCACTCTCTATACAGTATATACTCTTTGTTTAATAAATGTATCAGTTTTCCTTGACTTTGAAAGCCTTCCACCTGCACTGCAGATAGCTGTCACTAGAAAAGTTTTAGTTAATACTAGTCTGTTCTTGGGACTACCACACAGTAATCAAACTGGCAGTCACAATAGCAGTGTGTTGTCTCTTTGGAAGGGCACCTACAGTATGCTTAGCCTTCTTCTGTTATTTACAGGTTGAAGCCGTGAGCACCTCTGTTCAAGATTCAAGTGTGCTTGTACAGAGGAGCACCTTGGACCTCATACTGTTCTGTTTCCCATTCCACATGAGTCAGGTAACAGCTTGCAATTACAGTCATTGAAAGGAGTCTTTTGCTGTATTTTAGTAGAAGATGTTGCAAAGTTGTTTCTTTATTTGTGTACTGTTTCAGCCCATGAGACTGTGGACATATGTTGTTTGTGTGGGTATCGTCTCCGAAGAAATACATCCAGCTTTTAATACCACTGTTTTTGTGTGTTTACTGTACATTCAAATCAAGGTTAAAAAAATAATGCTGAAACATGTATCTCCCCATTCTTTGACAGAAATTGCGCAGCATGACCAGAGACTATATTAAATATAAAAGAACAAATAATTATTTTCTCGTCATTTTAGTTCAGAATTGTACACTAACATTCTTCTTAGTTTTGTATTACTTTGCTTTTTTTGGGGTCCCAGGCGACTCGTCCAGACATGATCCGGATCTTGTCAGCAGCTCTACACGTTGTTCTGCGCAGAGACATGTCCCTGAACCGCAGGCTATATGCATGGCTCCTTGGTAAGTTTTGGTGATACTAACAGGGCTTTATTTCCTGTACTGCAAATCCTTGAGAAAACACACCTCCTGTTTTTTTCTTTATCAATTATTCTGAGAAAAAAAGCCAAACTCTGGACAAGAAACTATGCTACAGAATATCACCCTATACCACTTGAGCAACTTAACTTCAGGTGATTAATGTCACTGTTGTTCAGTATATATGAATACAATGCTGTTCCAAAGAGTGTTTCCAGTAAATGATGGGAATGAAGTATATATAAAATATTATTTATAGTATTGATGATAATACAATATACCATTTACCATAGAATATATCCAAGGCTTGACTTTGAGAAAATTAAATAGTGTCATTTTTTAATTTTTTTTGCATTTGATTTGTAGGCTTTCTAATCATAGTAATCTCACACAACTTTTTCTTAGCAAAATATGTCCTCATAATAAAATAACAACAAGAAATGTCAGAAATGACATTGCATAACAATTGTTGTAAACACCTAACTGTAATTAGTAAATAGATTTGTTTTCAAAATGTTTTCTTTTCCAAATGATATGAAACATTTTTCTTACTAAGCCCGAGTATAACAATACATCAAAAGAGATACATTATCAACAGAGAATCAGAATAAAACTTTTCACATATTTAATACGTATCATTCTTGCTGATTATCTGTTTATAATACTTTTACTTATTACTTAATAAGTAATACTTATTACTGTTGGTTATGTTATTACACTATTTATGACAGTATACTTTGAAATAAGTGCCTTTTTTAAATAAAAATTATTCTTTTTATACTGAGTACTGAAAGAAATTCATACGGTAAGTATTGTCAGTAAACTGATCTTAATTGAGGTACGGGTACAATTTTTTTCTTGTTAAGAAAAAAAACTAATTAAAGAAGTAATAAACTAATTAATCAGTGCAAAATGCTCCCTTCCCACAATTACAAAACTCCAACAAGAAGGAGAATACATGTACTGTATGCAGCCCATATACAACAGAAATTATTTCCTTATATTTGTTTCTTGACCACACCTGATCAGAGACTTAAATATCTGCTTAGGCATTCAAAGATTTTAGGAAGCCAAGAACTGCATTTAAGAGAGAAAAGTTATACTGTTGTCATGCAACATTTTTTTCCTCTTCAAAGCTTAAAAGCAAGTATGCTTCAATGAACTGTTTTATAGTGTTTTTTGTTTGTTTTGTTCTGTTTATGTCGCTGACTGATTTTGGATGGCTGCTTGGTAAGTCCCTGGTGTTTGTGTGATGTGTTAGTGTTTTAAACAAATTATTGGGCAGCTTTCAGTCATCGCTGAACTGTTCCACTTCTTTTTCCTGTGCCCGTGTGTGTCTATGTGTGTTTAGGCTTTGACAACAATGGCATGAAAACAGGCCCTAGGAGCACGAGGCACAGCAATCCCGAAGAGCATGCCACCTACTACTTCAATACCTTCTCCAAGGACATGTTAGTTCAGGTACAGCGTATGGGGATAGAAATAGGTCAACACAAATTTCAACCTCCTTGTCCAAACTAAAACAAATCTGAATATCAGTCTGTATTCCCTTTGAAGGTCTAGTGATTTTGTGCATGGTTTACCTCATGAAACAAGTTCCTCCCTAATGATTTCTGTAATACTCTCAGCATGTTCATGGGCTCCAACTGGGACGTTGCTTTTGATACTTCTGGTACACGGGGACCATAAGTGCATAAATGCCATGTTTTTTTTTACCTATCTACCATCTGTTTAAACCACTTGTGTATTGGCGTGCTCCCCTCCATGTGAGATCATGTGAGAATGGAGGGTACTGAATGTTTAATTGTGTCTGTTATGTGGAAAATCCGGTTCCAAATATAGGAAGGATGAGCATTTTTCAAAAGTATAAACTTTGAGGTATTTTTTCTTTGGAAGAGGAACTCAGACATAAGAACATAAGAAAGGTAACAAACATGAGGAGGCCATTCTTGCCATCCAAGTCATGTGCTACTACTAGCTAACTGAAACCAGGATCGCAGCAAGCTGTTTCTTCAAAGAAACCAGGGCATTGACTGACAAATGAGTGGGTAGCTGGGTGAGCAGCCTCCTGTACTTAGTTTCAAATGCACTTTTACCCTCTGGTTCATGCAAAATGAACTGGACTCTTAATTAAATTAGGACTCATTTTATTGCATTTGTGAGTGTATTACTTCTAAGCACTAGCATCAACAAGACCCATATTTATTGTTGAAGAACCTTCTACTCAGTAGCATGACTCAGGGCCCTTGGCACATGAAACACTCCATTTAACAAAGGTGGGGCGTCCAAATGAGTTTTGGCTTTTTGTGTATTTTGATCAAATAAACGGTATCTTCCAAAAAAGAGAATACAAACCGAAGAGAGGGTGGCCACCCCTGCTTCTCAAATTCCTGCTACTACCCTTATTAATGTTCCTGTACTGTGGTTGTGACATTCCTTTATATACAAAACAAAAACGAAAAGTAAAAAAAAAACACTTTGTTAAATATGACCTTCTTATATTTGTACCTTTTCACAATGAATTGAAGACCCAGCTAGTACATCGCCTGTCAAGAGCTAAGTCCTGCTGAAGTAATATTCTCAAGCACACAGTGCTCTTACTGGCTCACAATCAGAGTGCTGTATTCCTTCTGTCTATGCACTATACCATTGTCAGTGTGTTTTTTTAAAAACTAGTGCCACTTGACTCCTGTTATGTGTGTATGTTTGTTATGTAGTAGGAAATGTGTTCTTTTTTAATGATAGGCAATGGTGGGGATCCTACAAGGAAAAGCAATTGGGGGTGAAGAGGAGAGCGTACTTATGCACGACCTAAAACCTTTCCGAATCTTGATAAGTCTTCTGGATAAACCTGAACTAGGTAGTGTAATCACAGACTAAAATCAGCATCACTTTGATTTCACTGTGGTTTTCTTTTGTGTGTGTATTTGCTTTCTTAAATTGTCACTGAGAACTGTTTCATCTTAGCAGCAGCAAAGGCAATGTGCCATTGATTCATGTACTCTTCACCTGAGAATAGAAGGATCCTGGCATGTTTAAACACAAAGAAAAATCTCAGTGAGAGCAGGGCTTGTAACTAGTTGTAACACATCATCTAAATGGATCTTGAAGTATCCTATCTGTGAGACACCCATTATCAGAATGCTGCTTATTCCTGGTAAGGTTTGAGACAATCCAGGGCCCTCCCAGATGTAAAGGTCACAAAGCAGGACTGCATCCCAGACAGGACACCAAGACACCCTAGACAGTACCCTTGTATCATAGAGCACATACTGTACAAGCACATCCTGTGGAAGTTAGGAGGTTGCTGAAGCACTTGATGCAAATGCAAGTGGACATGGGGAGAATTTGCCAACTCCACACAGAAGGCACCCCAGTCTGAAATCGAACCCAGGATCTGGGAGCTGCAAGACAACAGCACGAATCACCACACCTCTGTGCCACTTTGAGATGGCATGATACTTCTCTGGCAGTAAAACATCTGAATCTTCCTGGACTGAGTGTCCTTTTTTTACAGTATGTCTCTATACTCTGCTGCATGAACAGATTGTGAAAAGAGATCATTGACTTCTTTTCAGAAAAATGTGGTTGTAGACGTAATACATTATATTTTGTTGACTAAAGATTTGTATAAAGATTTTCCAGTTTACATTACAGATGACAAAACAAAATGTAAACCACCCATTTCATGTGTATTTATAATCTAGGGCCTGCAATTTTGGAAGATGTTCTAATTGAAGTGTTCAGGACACTGCATTCACAATGCAAAGCTGAGCTTGACCTGCAAACACAGCTGCCATTTAGTAAGGACCACTCACAGTTAAGCAGGTAGGTAGCCTGTGGAATTTTTTTACGGCCAGTAACAATATTCTATAGTGTCCTTTCAATTGTACCTTTGAAAAGGCAATTAATCAATTTCTGTGGCATAATACACAGTGTTTTTTCTAAGATAGCTTTTTCTTTCTTTTACTTTTTATTACTGGTTGTATCTTTTAGCTTAATGTGTATGAAAGACACCTTATTAAATTATGTTTATATTGGTTCTTCATTTTTTCCCCACATAGAGTGTTTTCACTATTGTTTTGTAGAATGCACAGAAATCAACTCTTCTGTATATGTACACATTTGTTATTTATTGAATACATATTTGTCCTTGGCAGTGGTTTAACGATAGTATTAGCTTTGCAATTGATTTAGATTGTCATTCATTAACTGAAAATGTCTTTTTACCATTTAGCAAACTGAGGGAGAATAAGAAAACAGCAGAACTAATAAAAACTGCAAACCTCCTCTTCAACTCCTTTGAGCCATATTACATGTGGGACTACATAGCCCGCTGGTTTGAGGAGTGCTGCAGGTATGTCAGTTCAGTGGAACTGAAGTTTCCCCCAATTAAAATAAAAAATGACATATGTGCAAGACATGGCTTTGTCATACTGTACATTTTTATTGACATTGTTCTGATATGACCAAACATGTACTGTATGCAAAATACTACCCAGAAACAACAGCTGAAATTCTTTACTATTGCCTCATATGCATCTTTGGATCTGTAATACAAATTTCATGAATACACATTGAAAATGACCATTTTCCCTTTACTGATCTAATATATACGTTTTTCACTGTATGTGTCCCTCAAATATTTTCAAGAAGGCAAGTTGCGTAGCCTTCACAGTTGTGGTTTACATCTTAAAGGAGGTGGTTTATCTTTTCTTTTCAACTGTTGTGCTGTCTCTAGTTTTAATTTACTAATATTACTGCTTAGAGGGGAAGAGCACTAAGAGGGAAAGGTGACTGATATCTGTAGAATTGACAGGCCCTTCCTAGGGCAGGTGATGACCTGGTTTTGGTTGTCCATGTGGGCACAAATTACTTGGGATTGAACAGCACAATTTACATCAGGAACATACTTAAACAGCTTGGCAGGAAACTGAAGAACAGGACTAAATTTTCATTTTCCTAGGAGTCCTACCAGCTTTCTGGGTCACTGGAAAGCTTTCCATGGCAAAAAAGTCAACCCAGCAGATTTCTTAAGAATAAACAGAGAAACCCAAACTAGAACCTGCATGGAATTGCATGTAAAACAGAGAACACACTTTCTACCCAGAGGGTTGTGGATCATGTATGGAACAAGCCCCCCAGCCATGTTGTTGAAGTTGATACCCTGGTCTCTTTTAAGAAGAGGGTTTGTGAAATCCTCTGATTAATTAAGTACCAAATACCAAAAATACAGTACTAGAAGGGGCCACATGGCCTTCTCTCATTTTTAACTTTGTTATGTTCTGACATATATTTTAGCTACATTTGATTTTGTCTTTTTAAGCCGTGTCTGGTTTCAGTATTTACTGCCTCTTCCGTTGGCTCTGTCCCCTGTCTTGATTGCAGTGAACAGTAAAGCTAACAGTTAACGTATCTCTGCAGGAGGACTCTCAATGCAAGACTGAAGGCTGGACATCAAGGGGGCTTCGAGCCATCAGACCTCTCAGTGGTGGAGTTCTGTCAGCTGGTGGACTTCCTGTTGGATATAGTGTCATTGGTAAGATGTGCTCATAGCAAGTAGGAGTAAAAACACTTTTTCCAAAGATTATCATTTTTGTTGCCTATAAGAGCAATTTGTATCTGCACAAAAAATTTTAAACAACATGGGAACCTTATAAAACCAACCATAAAGAAAATCTCGCAAAAAGTGAAATATCTATTTTAAATGTAGAAATGCATCCTTGTTCTCCGTCTTAACTCACATATTCCACGACAGTCATAATTTAAAAATGTTGATCTGGATTATTTCTTTTGCTGATTGCAGCTATTCAGTCAATTATTAAAACATTAATTTCATGGAGAATGTGCCAACGCAAACAGATACAGCTGAATGAGAAGAATTGATTGTGCAAGAGTTAACATCCGTTAGTCATCTGCACAATCAGCAGATTGTTAAACAAGCACAAAGGGTTTTGATAGATCACATATTCCTTTTATTAGCTCCAATTTTATTTTGCCTTAGAAAATGTTAAATTGTGGAAATATAGTAAGACACCTAAACAAATGAGAATTAGTATACTTTCCCATGTGGAAATATGGTAAGAGTAAACAAAATAAGAAAATGAGGTTCATAAGAGTCAGACAAAAATATTGCATACTGTACTTTTCTTTATCATACAGTAGATGCCCTGCATATAATAATAGTCTATATTTTGTTTGTGTTTTTTGTTTAGATTTTTGTTTTTCAATAAAAATAGATTTCCTCTTTTAATGTGTGTAAATATACAGTTTAAAATATATTTTCTGCTGTGAATTCGAAGAGTATAGTGTTTAAATAGTGGAATTTAAAATGCTCTGAAAAGCTATTGTAAGTGAACACTTCTTACAGCTGTCTGACAGTACCGTGTCACATCTGTCTCAGACATGCAAGGGAATTGAAGAATAAGACAGCTGAATTCTGCTTTTCACAAAATACACAATAGATGTCTCTGTCCTCAAGAATGCCTCTTTGTATTTTACAACTGTGCTTTAAAATGCTGGAAACTGGAGGTTGTGAATGAATGTTTTCATTGCTGTTTTTTAGCTTGAAGAAGATACAATATTTTTTTTACTTAGGTCTGTCAAGTGAGAAAGAAAGGCATTTTGCTATAGTAATGTGCCCTTGAGTGAATGTTTTTCCCATTGTGTCCTCTCTCGTACCTGCTGATATTTACTGGAATCATTATTATGTTTCTTATTCCTCTGCTTTTGTCTTCTCTGTTCAAATCTTTGCTTTCTTGTTTTTAAAGCCTACTAGAAGTATGAGAGTGATCTGTCAGGTACAGTATGTCTGCACTTTCCTTCTTTTTCACATCTGTCTTTTTGCTTCCTTGATGGTGATTCCTGAGAATTAATATCCCTGTGTATTACATTTTGGGGCCAAAATGAATGTGGATTTACCCAGGAGAGAACTGTCAACAAGGCCATGTTATAGTACTTAAATGTTATTTAAATGTTGTATATACTGAACATCAAAAGACATGAGTCGGTTACTATTTATACAATGTAAAAAAAAAAACTGTATTTAAAATTTGCTTATACAGCATGACCCTTATGAATGTCAGCAGGTGTGGTAAAGATAAGCAGAACTATGTGCCAATTGTTGTTCACAATACCTAATTTGATTAAACGCTCTGAAAGGGATGTTTCTGAGTTGTGTGATGTGGTGTCTAGCTGCCACAATATTAGACCTGGAGTAATTGATGGCAGCCTGGCTGCACTGCTCTACATTGATTAGTTTCTGGGACCTCGCTTACCTGCATGCTCAGCCTGACAACTTTCTCAGCTCAGCAACTTTCTTGCATGATGAAATGTGACAATTAAGCGGTGGGCACCCTCTTCGTCAAACTTTCCCTACTGCTATGGACATCTGTGGGGTGAGCTGGGATAGCATGTAGCATCTAGGGCTCCTAGACCAGTAAACAGGCACATGGCTCTCCAGGCTCTACGAGAGGAATAAGACAGAAACTCACCAGAGAACATCTGCAATCTAATGCAAAGCATATGTCACAGATGTCCCAGGCAGCGTACATTGCTGTCATAGGTGTCCACACACCTTCTGTAGAGCAACCCTAACAAATCCTAATCAACATAATGAATTCTCTCATGTCATGTATGGTCAGTAAAGTGTCAGCTCACCTGCTCCAAAAAGAATTTGTAATTTTCCTGGTAATAACTTAGTAAATTTGTTGCATTTCTAAGTAGTGGGTTTCTTTTGATGCTCCATATATGTTATTAGGAGATGTTTTTATATTCATTTTCTAGTAATTATTTTTGAGACATTTGTAGACGGGAAATTTGGGCAAGAGTTTTTGTGTGTTTTTGGTCTTTTTCTAGTAGATCCAGTGGGTATTTTTGTGTTTTATCATTCTAGTGTTTCATCCGTATGATTTCAGACTGTATTTCCTGCTGAGGGTCAGAGCTGGAAAAACAGTACAACACTTTCCTCTTAAATGTCATCCTAATTAAAAAATTAATGATAATAACGTGCCCATGTTGCACATTATTATCATTAATTATTACATATTTAGGATAATCAGTAAACAAAAAAATGATGTTCTCACAGAACCACAGAAATGACCAAATGGTGAGATTTTGTTTTTTAATTCAAATACTTTCAACCTAAAAGAAAGTATCAGTACAACATCTTGCACGGGCAAGTGCCATTCAGGGAGAATGTTGCCACTTGTTTTTTAGGTGTACAGAAACAGAAAAATCTACACAGTGTATAATATCGGCCCCCCAAAAAGTATCGTTTTATGCCGAATCCGCAATAATCGCATCGCTACAGGATCACAGATTAGCATTCCATCGGAAAGAGACCCGGTGCCTGAGTGTCCTGTGATCCCCAGGAAACGTACATTGAGATCCAGACGGAGCACCTGCCTCAGCTGCTGCTGCGGATGGTGTCTGCCCTGACGAGCCACCTCCAGGCCCTGGGGCTGTCCGAGCTGACGGACGGCCTGCGGCTCTGCTCCAAGATCCTCAGCAAGGTGCAGCCGCCCTTGGTGTCCCCCGGAGCCGAGGGCAGTTTGCCGCTCCCGGCGGGGCAAACCTGTTCTGCGAGGGAGGTGGAAGAAAAGAAAGTAAGCTGATGTTACTGCTTTCGGAATCTGGTTTCTTCCTGTCAACGTCCGTCTTTGTTGTCTTGTAGTGCATCAGGAAAAGTATCCTACAATAAGAAACTTGTAAGGTTCCACTGTGTATGTAAATAACACATTGGAAGGTGTTTCCACCCTTTTTAGCTTCTTTCCATGGTAAAAATAAGTACTGTAGGTCCATCTTATGATGTACAGCTTTTTTATATTTTTGTGTGAATAACACACATTGCTATTAAATCCCCCGCTGTTTGTTTTTGTATAGTTCTAAGCTTTCTAAGATACTGTATATTGGAGTTGAGAAAACATCAACATTTTATCTGATATTCCTGCATCATTAATTGTGGATGATTATCTATGTAGAAGTCTTTTAATCTAGGTAAAAAGATGTCTCTTAGGTTGAAGGGAGAAAGGTTTTGAAGTACTGTAGTTCAAGAAGGTAGCTGCGTCAGCATGCGTAGGCTGCAAAGGAACAAGTAAAGGTTTATATTCCATGCTGAAAAGAGGAAGAAAGGAAACACAACGTTTCACCAGTGGAGCCGCCTTCGGGTGTGATAAACTTTTTTTAAGGTTGGAATAAACCTTTACTTGTTCCTTTGCAACGCTTTGAAGTGACGTACATACCGACATCATGTAAAATCAGTAGAAAAACCTAGAATGGACACTGGTGATATTGTAACTCTTTGAAAAGGTACTCAAGTGCTGCTTTCTGAACAGCGAAATTCAGAATTGATCTCTAAGTGGCAGTTTTAAAATGCAAGCAGGCCGAGCTGCTTCAGCACAAATTTGAAATTTCCAGAGTTTGGTGATCCATAAAAATGGGGCAGAAGTCCCAGGATACAGACACATGACTGTATGGAGCAGCTGAGCCCTTTCATTTGTACCTCCGTTCCTGAAGGGAACACGAGACGACACAGTGCACAGCAGCAGTCGGGGCCGGGGTCATGTGGCTGCATCCTACAGAGGGTATAACATGTTTATCCTGTCCATTGGTGTGTAACCATACCCTGAGGACTATGGGACTGTTATGAGCCATCTGAGCCTGCTTGGAAATGACAAAAGATTGGGCTTATGGGACTGTGAGACAAGCATGGAACTGTATGGATCCATTAAATATCATCAGTGTGCGTTCCCCATGTATCCCAGAGGCTTTTGTTACTTTTCTTTGTGCTGACATGAGCAACATCTTTAAAGTTTACATTTAGTGATTTTTTTGTTATCAAATAAGCAACAAAATCAGGTTGCAGTGCATGGAATATTGACTTTGGAAAGTGGATGTTTTATAACACAGAAAATGATCAATTCTGTCTTGTCATTAGAAGTTAGAATGCATGTGTGAAAATCAAACTTTTGAAAGTACTGTCTAGGTAAAATTATGTGTTATATGTGCGTGTAATTATGAAGATGCTACAATGAAACTTTCTGAGCAATGGATCACAGTTGGAAGTCACTGTAAAACAGCAGGTTTGGATTCAGCTAAGAATAGAAAAGCCACTGTATCTACCCCAGTAATTACGTAAATGTTCTGAGCATGCAATGTGAGTGGGTTTGGTGAGTAGTCACGTTACTTGTTTTTCACATTGTCTGTATTTAGCCATGAGGAACTGTACTATTTTACTACACTGTTTGCTAGGCAGCTTAGCAAGCCTACAGTTTAAAGTAATCCAGTTTAAAAGAACAATAAGTGGAATGTGTCTGTAGAATAACCCTGCATAAAAACACTGCTTTATATGCTTAAGTAGAAGATAAAATGAATTTTCACCAATATAGATGAGAAATATATTTATGTAGTCTAGAATAAGGTAAAGGTTAGCACCTTGTTTAGGACCATGTTTATACTTAAAGCAAATGTTCAGGTTAGGTGTCGTGCTACAGCTAGGTCTACCGGTAGAGATACTGAGGGTTACTGTAAATATCTGGTAGGTTGTTTGATGCGGTTATAACCAGGGTTAAGGGCAAGGGACACAAAACAGCAAACTGAAACGTACAGGGTGTATTTCGTGATAACTGTCTCAAAGCACTGTACAGTGCAAGGCAGGAAGGAAGAAAGTTCAAGGTTAGGGACCCTGTCTGGGTTTGGGAAGGGTTGCTTTATGGATAGGGTGTAGATAAGGATGAGGGTAGTTTTTTTGTGTTAGCAGCAGTTAGGAGCTTTTGAGCAGTAGTCACACTTGGTTGAGTCTAAACAAATGCATTTTTATATAGTGCTTTTTATGCCAGGATGTTCCCAAGCACTGCACAAAATCATATACACAGCACATTGGTGCATACCGAAAATCAATATTGATATAAAGTGCTTTCAAATAAAAGGTTTTAGGCTAAGTCTTAAAAGAACCAACACTTTCAGACAACCTAATGTCTAACTGAATGTAATCTGATAAATAGGGAAGATCACAGTATAAGACTCTAGCTTCATCTATGTCCAGTCAGTATTGTTTTGGTACAGCCAGAGAGTCAGAATTTGCAGATCTCAGAAAGCATGGTAGAATGTAAGAAAATGTAGCTGCTGTTTATATATATATCAAAACACTGGTGGGATCACAAACAACTTTTTTATTTTTAATACAGGCAATTTAAAAATGATTTGATGATTCACAGGTAACAAGTGTTATATTCCAGAACTGGTGCATATGCATAGTGTCAGAAAGCTATTCTACATTTGTATTTTGTTTATGCCTTCAGTTTATAATAAAATACCAACAAATAAGGATTTTGCAAAATAACCTCTTGTTGGAACTCATGAATGCTTGCAATTCTTAGATACAGGTTTATTCTGAGATACAGTAAAATACAGGTTTTAACAACAGTATATACAGTAAGCTAAATACTGTACTAAAGAGAGCACAGTGTGCTGTATACATTCCACATTTTAGGAAAATAGGATTAAACGTGGTATTTATGGTATATGTGTTATGGTATAGGGAATATACGTATTAGGAACTAGAGCTAGATCTGTGTTTACAGATGGAGACAGGATGTGGGTCACATTCAGGCACGGATGAGGATTAAGGGGTTTGTAGAAGATAAATGATTGTGAAATAGGTACAGTTTACCAAAAGCTCTTGTTACACTTAAATACAGTATATAAATATATATGTATCTGTGCATGTTCTAATTTTCTTTTATTCATCTGTTTGAGTTCTGAAACTTAAATCAATACAGTAGTTTTAGAAACAGAATCCGGACATTGGATGGATTAAGACGCAGTGATACGACCAGTACGAGTTCAATTTTTCATGATATTGTCACAGCTCCCCAGCTCTGTAAGTCTCCCTCCCATTTCCAGCTCTTCCCAGTGGTGTCGGAGTGCCCGGACGTGTTTGAGGACAGCGAGAACCCCCCCAGCAGCCGCTCCTCCGAGAGCGGCTTCACCGAGTTTGTGCAGTATCAGGCCGACAGGAGCGAGGACCTGGACCGGGCTGGGGGGGACAGCCAGGGGCCGCACAGCTCTCTGCCAGCTGGCAGTACCTCCTCCGAGACCGAAACCGCCTCCACGGTGGGCTCGGAGGACACCGTTGTTCACTCTTCTCCCACCGGGGGGCGTGCCTCGTCGGCCCTCGCCGGGAAAGCCAAGCAGAAGACAGTGATGCAGTGCTGCTTGGAGTACTTCCAGCAGTTTCTCACCCGGCTCGTCGCCCTGTATATCACCCCCGGCGCTGCCGGCGTGTCCGCCATCACGAGCGAGCTCTGCAGCGAGCTGAAGGGACATCAGGCCTCCAGAGGGAAAACAGCGCAAGCAGGAGACGCTGGCTTAAAGAGCACGGCCAGCTCTCAGTGTCTGGGGGCCTTCACAGCGGCCTGCCAGCTCTTCCTGGAGTGCTCCAGCTTCCCCATCTACATCGCAGAGGGCAACTTGAAGTCGTCTCCCCAGACAGAGGAGGTTCAGCCAGGTCAGCCCCCCCAGGTTTTACAGTCTGAACTTCCCCTCTAGGTTCACATTCTAGTCACATTCTATGTTTGGAGTTTTGATTCTGTTTTTTTTTTTTTTAAACCCAATATAAATGCAGATATTAAATTCATTACTTATTCGACTTTTGTTGCATGGGCCCTTTAGAGTTTATGTACAGTAGTAAAATGATGGTCCTCATAAAAGTGCTTTAAAAATATTACTATTTTGAAGGAAGGGGATGTAGAATTTCTGTTAGTTCTTGTTTTATAATTCTGTCATATAAACACAGTACTAAATGGTTGTGGATATTTGGGTATAGCCTTAATTCAAGTTTAAATACAGAATGCATTTAAGCTTCTGTTTTATCTCCTGGCAGACTATGAACAGGTGAAGCCTCCTGTTTGGCTCCAGACCCTCATGGACGCCTGCTGCTTTGCTAACGAGTTCAGTATCCAGGCTGTCGCCATCTCTCTGGTGATGGACTTGGTGGGTCTCACACAGTCAGTCGCCATGGTAACGGGGGAAAATGTCGGCAGTCTGGAGGCACCCCAGCCAATGAGCCCGAGCCAGGGGAGGGTGGCCGTCGTCATCAGGCCCCCACTTACTCAAGGAATCCTCAGATTCATTGCTGAAAAAACGGACTTTTTTAAGGTAAGCAGTGGTCAGTTTTATTGACGTGGCACCTTGGTTTGCCCTTGTCTTAAAGTAAATGAAACTTCAAATGAAAAAAACAAAACAAGGAAAGTACGATGGCCAGTGTAAACAACATCAGTCTCTATGTTGTCATTTCTCAGCATGTTGCACTGACACTGTGGGACCAGCTGGGCGAAGGAACACCCCAGTATCATCAGAGGAGTGTGGAGCTCTTCTATCAGCTGCACAATCTGGTCCCCTCTTCCAGCATCTGTGAGGATGTCATCAGTCAGCAGCTGATGCACAGGGACAAAGTAAGGATCATCGGGAACTAGCAGAACAGTACGAGTCCCTCAAACCAAAAATCAAGTTTCTTGTAACATCAGTTTCTAGCTTACAACGCGAGACAACGCCATTATGAAGTGAAAGATAATACAGAAAGGACTTTTGACAGCTAGCTTTCCATAATCATGGTGAAGTTTTAAATGAAGGACAATGTCCTGAAACAAGTAACGGGTAAAATCGATAGATTGGTACATTGCAATCTGTTTGCAGTCCTCATGATGAATTGTTGATATTATTATCCTGTTAGTCTAGCCTAGAATGGATGGATGTACTTTAGGAATCTTGTTTAACATTGACATGGGGTTTTGAAAAACAAATGTTCATGTTGGTAGAGATATTTTATTGTTACGTCTTTAAAATGCCACATGATCATGGATGCTCCTTTCAATCAGGTGACTGTTCTCAGCAAGAGGAACGGTTAAAACGGGGAGCCACTTTAAATGGTTTAATTGGAGATTATTTAAAAGAAAAAGTAGAATGCCGAGGTGCTTTATTATTGTGTGTGCACAGGAGGGAAAATGTCTTTTAAGAACCGTACAGATGTCTTTTACTCTGAGGTACTATATGATCATGCTGCATTAGAGGGGCTATTGGTTTATTAATTTTCTTACATTTTTCAGAAAATCCGACTAGAAGCTCATGTGAAGTTCTCAGTACTTTGGCACCTGACAAGGGATCTTAACATTACAAAGTCTTCCCCTTTTAATCGCACGTTTGACAGGTAGGGGATCAAAAACATTTTAGTTCGGTATGGCTAGAATTAGTAATTTCATGTTAAAAAATAGTATATTTTAGTGTATATGTATTTTTGAAAATCATTCATAAAGATGTCAATATAATATTGTAATACTGTACATTCAGACGGGTACTGTTACAATGAACAGCTGACGTTTTCAAAATGCTGTATTTCCTAAAGGTCAGTTGTCTGCTGAAGATGGGGTGCTGTAGGTGAAACTGCAGGTCATGATGTCAGGTTCTCTGTGCTCTGATCCTAATGCAGCTTCTTTCCTCCTCCCTGCGAAGGTCTCTGTTCATCATGCTCGACAGCCTGAGTAGCTGGGACGGCTCCACCTGCTGCGTGGGCCAGGCGTGGCTCAGCCAGGTGCTTCAGAGGCATGACATCGCCAGGGTGCTGGAGCCCCTGCTGCTGCTCCTGCTCCATCCAAAAACCCACCGGGTGTCCGTGCAGCGCGTCCAGGCCGAGCGCCACTGGGTCCGGGCCAGGGCGCCTGCTGAGGAAGAAGGCAATGGCTTCAGCTACGCGAGAGACCCTGGAACCGCCGACAGTGAGTGGATTCTGACACAAAACTGCCACCTTCAGCAAGGCCTCAGAAAGGGACAGTTTAGGATCTAAAAGATTACTTCCTTAGAACATGGAGAATGGGCCTGATTGAGGTGGAGTTTGCTTGTTTTAAACTGCATAACAAACCCTAGAATAGAAGAAACGAATTCACCTGTTCAGGAACATAGCCTCAAAACAGGCCTCATGTAAACATTGTGCTTTAAAAGATGTGACAGTAGATAATAGTTTCCTAGCAGTGTTTTTTCTTTCCTTTTCTTGTATTTGTTTTTTATTTGCATTTTTTTGTTGTACTTGGAATATCACCAGTTGAAATACATTTTTCTAGAACACAATAATAAAAACAGCCTCAAACTCCATTGTGCTGAAAAATAAATTTATTTACTGCAATAAATTAATTTAGTGATTTAATATTATACAATTTTTAAAATAGTGACTAAATTGTTTTGAAATTGTTTGAGCAATGAACGTCAGGTAGTGACACATTGTCATCAAAATAACATTGAAGTACATTTTGGATGTTCAAATAACGTGTGTTAACAAATATCTTCTGGCTTGGTTCTGCATTTCTGCTTAAAGATTTCAGCCAGATGCCAGTTAAAACCATGAATGCTGTAAGGGAGAGCCATGGGAGAGCACTAACCCTGGAGGAGATAGAGCACTTCAGTCTCACAGTCAATCCCCTGAGCGACAGCCTGTCCCTGCTCAGCACAAGCAGCGAGAATCTTCACCTGGCAGCAGCGGAGTTCGACTTGCCTGACCAACAGACCGAGATGCTCCATAGCTCTGATTCAGGGGGCTCCCACTCCTCCACCGCGGACAACACCAGCTTCGAGGAGCTCGACAGCACCAACACAACAGGAACTCAGGATAACGCCCCTGCTTCTGCGACGGAGGACTCTGTAGAAGTCGTGGTGCCGCAGGTTTTGTTTGAATTGGTTGACAGAGTGGCTAAGATCATTGAGAACGATACCGACGCAGCTGAAGCGTGGCATGAGTCTGACTCTGACAGCTCTATCTCACAAACGTCTGCTGGGCCACACATGTTGGATACTTGTAATGATATGATGCCCAACAAAAATGCTGCCAGCAAAGAGAAAGTACTTGAGTCTGAAACAAATGGAGCTCCTGGGTATCTTTCTGTCACGTCTGACACAGGAGAAGAAGAGCAGCCCCGTGACAATATCACCAGACACAGCTCTTCCCCATCCATTGTCACAATTCCGGACGCAACTTCTGAGCCCACCCTCCAGGCTGAAGACCAGTCCCGCAAGAGAAGCCAGAGTAGCATCCAGCTCAGCCTTAAGGGAAAGATCATGGAAAAGCTGGTGGACAAATCTCCAGGTGCTAAGCCTAAAGTAAAGAGCAACAAAAAGAAAGAGGAAGACAAGAAGAAAATTCAAGCCGAGAAGGCAAAACAGCCCAACATCTTCTTCGGGGATAGCTTGGACCTGGAGAACTGGTACAGCTGCGGGGAGGGAGAGGTGTCAGAGATTGAGAGTGACGTGGGCTCTCCTGGACTGCGCAGGGCTACCTCACCACCCAGGTTCCACATCCACCCGCTCTACCAGCATGTCCTTCTGTACCTCCAGCTGTATGACTCCTCCCGCACTCTGCACGCGCTGTCCGCCCTCATTGCTATGCTGAAGGCCAGTCCCACTGCCTTCGTCAGTGCCATCTCCACCACTAGCATCAATAATACTTACACCCCGCAGCTGTCCCTCTTGCAAAACCTCTTGGCCCGCCACCGCATCTCCGTCATGGGAAAGGACTTCTACTGCCACATCCCTGTGGACTCGCACAGCCACTCCTTCCGCAGCTCCATGTTCATTGAGATCATTATCTCCCTCTGCCTCTACTTCCTGCGCAGCTATTACTCCACTCATGTGCTGGCCTCACAGCAGGACCTCTCGGGCAACCGCAACATGCAGATCATTAGCGTCGAGGTGTTGATGCTGCTGTTCACCGAGCTCGCCAAGGTCACCGAGGGTTCAGCCAAGGGCTTTGCCAGCTTCATCTCGGACATGCTGTCGAAGTGCAAAGTGCAAAAAGTCATCCTCCACTGCCTCCTGTCCTCCATCTTCAGTGCCCAGAAGTGGCACGGCGAGAGAGTCGCGGGCAGGAACATGCCTGCTGTCGAGGAAGGCCTGTCCGAGGACAGCATCATCAACTTCTCGGAGGATGAGATAGACAACTGCAGCACAGTGCAGTCTCAGCTGCTCCGGCTCCTGCAGAGCCTCATTATTCTGGAGCACAGGGTGATGGTTCAGCCCGAGGATGTTGAAGGTGGCTATGAGTTCATCAGCACAGACGTGGAGCACATCAACCCCCAGCAGCCCATGACTTCCCTTCAGTATCTCCACTCCCAGCCCATTACGTCACAGGGGATGTTCCTCTGTGCTGTGATCAGGGCGCTGCACCAGCACTACACCTGCAAAATGCACCCGCAGTGGATCAGTCTGATAACTGCTACGTTGCCCTACATGGGAAAAGTGCTGAGGAGGGTGGTGGCATCTGTGACCCTGCAGCTGTGTCGTAACCTGGATCACTTAATCCACCAGTACAGATATGAGACCGGATTATCAGAAAGCAGGTATATCCAAATACCAGCGCCTATAAGTGTGGTTCTGTTCCAATAGGGGTGTGTTAATTTTTTTTTAAAAGCGCAGTATTTAAGAAACCACTTTTAGATTTGCACAAGATTATTTCCTGTAATTGTAGAAAATTGGATTGTATTTGTAAGAAACAAATCACTCATTCACAAATCATTCAGTTGTTAGCTGTAGTGTCTTATCTACAGTATATAGTTTAAAATAATGGCATTTTAAATGTATTTTTGGTTATTTAAAGGAGAAAATTAGTCAAGCTTACAAGAAACCATGGTAAAGATTTGAAAAACATTTTATTTTAGTGCTGTTTTTGGCCTTCTTTCCATTTTTATTACACAATAATATATTATTAATAATAACTATGTTTGCAATTGGCAGTGTAAAATTTAATTCCTGTTTCTTGATTTTCTTCTTTTGAATATTTAGACCACAGTGGATGGCGTCTTGCATTCCTCCAGACATGATTCTTACTCTTTTAGAGGGAATAACAACTATTATTCACTACTGCCTCCTAGACCCATCTTCTCAGTACCATCTGGTAAGTGCCCAGTATTCTGGACTGTGAATAACACACTTTTTTACTTTATATTATATACATGGTCTATGTCTTTTCTATGCAGTTGTGGGAGTCAATTAAAAGGGTTAGATAATTAGGATAAGCATTTTTTCATGATCACTCTGTGGATTTCCGTTGCACACTTTAAAATAATTTAAAGTTTCCTATTTTGAGTAAAAGCAGGTAATGAAAGCAATTCAGGATTGTCTCTATTCTTTAGCTCATGACTGTTTGTTACCCTGACTTCTTTTCTGAGTTCCTTGATCTCTTTGCTGCGGCAGCTGTTGGTAAACGTGGACCAGAAGCACCTGAGTGAGGCTCGGACAGGGATCCTGTCCATCCTTCACACCATCATGTCCTCTGTGACTCTCCTCTGGAGTGTCCTGTTTCTGGCTGACAACTCAGAGCGCCCTCCAGTGGCCTCAGCATCCGCCACCACCACCATCAATCTCGGCTCCACTAAGGTACTTCTGGCCTGGACAGCAACATGTACTGGCTGTAAAGGAACAAGTAAAAAGTTTATTCCATGCTGAAAAGAGACGAAAGTTTCCTTTCTTCTGGAATAAACCTTTTACTTGTTCCTTTGCAGCCTACGCATGCTGACGGAAAAAAAACTTGATGTACTGGCTGTGTCAGCTTTATAAGAGCTTCACACATTTGACAAAGTAATATTGTCTTTTGTACCAAAAATGAGAAGTCACAGGAAGATAAAGCTAAATATAATATACGGTGAGGTGTTAAAAACACAACAGGGGAGTATTGGAGCCTGTACTGCTTTTGTTGTGGTGTTAATGTCTCTTAGTTTAGTACTTAGAAAAAAGAAATAAACCATATAACATCATAGTAGAACATTGATGAATATAAGAATCATTTTAAGCCTAATTTCAGAGACCATAATTCCCTGGGAGCATTTTTAAAACGCAGCAAGGTCGACTTTTTATCGTGCTGGTCTGTTCCTGTTCATTCCAGAACCTGAGGCAGCAGATTCTGGAGCTGCTGGGTCCCATCTCCATGAATCATGGGGCTCACTTCATGGCTGCCATTGCTTATGTGTGGAACGAGAGAAAGCAAGGCAAAAATGCTTCCCGGAACAAAGTGAGTCACCATGTACAAGCGCATCTCACGCACAGCTCACACAGCTCACACAGCTCCACTGGGCGATCACTGAACTGTCTTTAGGGACGTCCGGTTGTGACCTATCAAAGGTTACGTTGCCTTGAAGCATATTTACTGTATGATTTTTCTCTGTGTTGATTGTTAGTCAATTTCCTTGGTCTTCTTTTGACAGACCACTGTACTGTCACAATGAAGCTAGAAAAAGATTAAAAGACCCTTAAAATCTAAATGTGAGGGTAGATACACCATGTACTGCTTACAGCATTCTTATACTATTTCTGTGCTTTGTGTAGAACATGAGAGAGGTTACGAACAATAGGAGGCCATACTGCTGTAGCCCCATCTAGCTCATCTAGCCAATTTAGTAGATAATGGATCTGAGGACCTCATTCAGGCATTTCTTTAAGAAAGCCAGGATATCAATTTCAGCAGGATGGCTGTTGAATAACTTATTACATTCCCACAACCTTGTTTAAAATAATTATTGGTAAGCATGTACATATGTGAAATATCTCAGGAATATGAGCTGAAAATGTCACAGAAAATTAACTCGACTCTGGTTGTAATTATGTCCTTCATTTATATGTAAAACGTTTTATCTCCAGGATATTTGTGTTGTTTTAGTTCTTTTTTTTAACATTCATTACTCAGATCTTAATTTTGCTTAATAATAATAATCTTTACACTTATTAAGTGCTTTACAAGTAAAAGGGACTCCCCTCCACCAACGGCAGCACCACCTGGATGATGCACCGGCAGCCATAGTGCACCAGTACACTCACCACACACCAGCTCTCAGTGGGGAGGAGAATCCAGATACTGGCCAGACTCACACCTGCTTAGATTGAGTTTCAGGGTGATATACAGTAGCTGCTGACTTTGTACTTTGCTCCTAGATTACTTTGTATACATAGGTGTACATCTTGATGTGTAATTTTCCAAACAGCAGGAGTTGAGAACTGAAATTGTTTTCTAGGTCATTCCCACAGCTAGTGAAGAACAGCTCCTCCTTGTGGAGCTTGTGCGCTCCATCAGCGCCATGAGGACAGAGACTGTGATGCAGACCGTGAAGGAGGTTTTGAAGCAGCCACCAGCTATAGCCAAGGACAAGGTGAGGTCCATCTCCACCCGTCTCAGCTTTTACAAGAAAGAGGTTTTGTACTTTTATCATCAATAACTATCCAATTCAGGTGTGAGCTTGATTTTGTGCAGTTAAAGTGACAGATTTTCATTTCAGTGCTGACTTGTCTAATTAAGTCTTTTGCTCTCTTCTTCACAGAAACATCTTTCCCTGGAAGTCTGCATGTTGCAGTTTTTCTATGCTTATGTCCAAAGGTATGTTCACTAGTGCTGCTGATGTCTCAGAAATACAGTAGCTGCATATTTAAGTTGATGTTTGTCATCTGTGCTATACCTGTATATACAGTATCTATCATATTATTTCTCTTTACAGAGTCCCTGTGTCAAACCTTGTGGACAGCTGGCCATCACTGCTGTCTTTACTCAAGGACTCTGTGCAGCTTGGACTCCCATCCCCAGGACAGTTCTTGATCCTCGGGTATAGACTGTTAGCCACACAGCTTTTACATAACATTTAATGTTACCTAATATTAAAGGATTTCTGTCATTGAATTAAAGCCACCGAACCGCTGATTTTTACACTTTAAGAAACAGGAATATAATTAGTCTTGTCCTCATGTTTCTAAGTAATTTCTTTAGCTCTCAAAGAGATTAAGTTTTCGAAATTTGTGATCGTGAGATTAATGTGAATGTTAAGTATTTTTTTATTTGGACTGTATTACATGCATACATTTTTTCATTTGATCTTTATTACAAGCATACTTTGTATTCAAGTCAGTAATTTCAATTGACTTACTGTACGTATTGGAACATTTACTGTACTTTATGTAATTGTCAAAGTGCAAAACTCAGTATTGATTTTACTGTCCCAATCCTTTTGGATGGCACTGTATACAGGTACAGTATACAGTATGTTATATAAAAGCTCCGATTAACATATATGTATACATAAAGCAGGAAATTGTGCTCCTAAAATATTTTAAAATATCTGTGCTCTGATTTTTAAACATGGCTCAGAGGAGTCCAGCTTAATAATATTATTTGTCTGATAGTATACAGGCGTCCCGTCCAGGGTATGTCCTGCCTTGTGCCTGTTGCTTGCTGGGACAGGCTCTGGCTCTCTGACTACCCTAAACCGGAAGAAGCAGTTAGAAAATGGATGGAGGGTAATAGTATAAATATATAGCTGGACAGGCAGAAACACGTTGAGAAGCAGTGAAAATATGTGATTCTGGCTTGTAAAAATGTTGATTCCCACAGAAGGTCAATAAATAGGGAGCTACAAAAGCCACAATATCAACTTTGGGAAGAAAGATACGTTTATTTTACGATATCTGTTTTGCTCTTATTTTTAAAGAATTCTCAACGAGTTTATCTTGAAGAACCCCAACTTTGAAAATAAGAAGGACCAGCGCGAGCTGCAGGTAAGACCTTTGCAGAAGGTGTCCGTTTGAGTTCTTGTGTTCACCAGCGAGTTCTGACAGAGTTTGCCCTTGTGCCTCTTCAACAGGATGTCACGCACAAAATTGTGGAGGCTATCGGAACGGTTGCTGGCTCCTCCCTGGAGCAGACTACCTGGCTGAGGAGGAATCTGGAAGTGAAGGCTTCCCCACAGATTGTAGTGGATGGAGCCACCCTGGAACCAGATGTGGAAGGTGCAGAAATCTCACAGTGGAACTGTATTGAGTTCCGTGTTCAATTTGAGACGTGTCACATTCTCTTCTATTGATTATGTGTGGAAATATTTTTTGTAGTTTCTTCTTCAAGTGTTAGTGTGGTACATTTTTAATAGTAAGTGGTAGTGCTGTACAAATTGCTGTACATTTTTAGTACCATATATGAGCAATAGATGTATTTTTAATGGGTTCCCAAATCAAAGAAACTGTTAAAAGGTAATCTGTAATCTGGATTATGTATTGCGGTGTGAGTCTGGGCTCTGTAACTTATTGTGATCGGGACTTTAAAAAAGTGGCACCACACAGCTGACCAGTTGCCTCAGGCATTAGGATACTTTGAGACGATCAAGGTGTTATACTGTAGGCTTGCTGTGCTACAGCAACTCACTGCTCTACTTTCTAGGCAACTGTGAACTTGTCCTGCTACCTTCGAGAGCTGCTATCTCCATGCTTGATGCTAGCAGTTTTCAGAAGACTGCTTACTGAGGAGTGTAGCAGTGAGCTGAGTTAATGAACAGTTGCCAATTCCAAATTGGAAGCTGTAAATAGTGGAAAACAAATTGCCAGTTCCAAACTGAATTTATCAAATATTTGTATACAACACTTAATGTTATGCAATTGATTAACCCTTTATAACTATATGTTCACAACTATTTCTATTTCATATATAATACATTCCAAATGTTGCTATAGGTCAGAATAAATTACACATGGCAGGATGAAATTGATTGTGCAGTTATGAGTGGTTGTTACTTCACGCAGGAGTACGTGTGTATGTCCTGCCATCAGTACTGTACTCTCTCACACCTTTCAGAGCTGATGCTGACAGTGATGGAAGCCTCCAGTTTCACTCCCTCCGTGTACAGTGTGCATGCACTGACCTTGCTGGCTGAGGTGAAGTATACTGTATTTCCTTCTTCTAAAATCAATCATGGTATGAAAGAGTATGGAGCACTGTGTAATGACCAACCTACTGTGACTTATGAAACAGACAATCTGTTTTCAAGGTCTATGTGGAATATTCTTTAATTCACTTTGGAAAATCATGAAATACTCAAAGCAGGTGCTATGAAGGTTCATCATGAAATGGTAGCTGAACTAGTCACATTTCCCTTCCTCTATAGTGCTGTCACTCACAAAAGAAACTAGCTAGCACTTGTCAGATACGGGACACTAAAGACAGCTGAGAAAGGGACTGCAGTTTGCCTCCTCTGAGTTTTTAGTTTAACACTTCAGAACGTCTAAAGATGAATTATTAATGATAAATTGATCAGTCTCACAATGAGTGTGTCCTTTGTCTTCTGGTATTGTAAATACAGTTCAGATATTAGTTTTAACATGTTTTTTTTTGTCTAGGTTATTATATGAACAACACTATTAATATTGCTAATGATTTGGGTGGTGCTTTTACCTAAACTTACATTTGCACCCATACAGCAAAAATGGTAGGCTTGATGATTTTATTTTTGTCTTTGAAGGACTGTTTGAAAATCAGTTTTTGCGTGTGGATCTCAGCTGAAGATTCTGTTTGACAGTGACATGTTTTTCAGGTGCTGGCTCACCTGCTGGACATGGTGTTTTACAGTGATGAGAAAGAGAGGGTCATTCCTCTCCTGGTCAACATTATGCACTATGTAGTGCCTTACCTCCGCAACCACAGGTAACTGCTTGGCTATGACCACAGTACCCTTTTTTCTTCACAGTACAGAGTAGAGTCAGGAACCCCACATTATTGAGGTGTTTGGTTAATTCAGGGCTCATCTTTAGTAATAAAAGTATGAATTGGATTATATTGATAAGATTAACCTCATAGTTCACGTATTTCAAAAGACATGCTTTTCCTTGTTTTAACCCCTTTGGATCCCTGTGTGTCTTACAGTGCTCATAATGCCCCGAGCTATCGCGCATGTGTACAGCTCCTGAGCAGTCTGAGCGGCTATCAGTACACCCGACGAGCTTGGAAAAAGGAGGCCTTTGATCTCTTCATGGACCACACATTCTTCCAGATGGACTCCTCTTGCGTCAGCCAGTGAGAGAAACATGTGCAATTTATACAGTGAATTCAGTCTTTTTTTATTTGAGGAGTGCCTAAATCATAATGGTTATCTTTCAGCTGGCGAGCCATTATGGATCACTTGATGACGCATGACAAAACTACATTCCGAGACTTGATGAGTAAGTGTTTTCCTGGTTTAGCCAGCAGCCATATCACCCTGGCAACTGGCAAAACTGGCAACCCACTGAAGCTCAGCAGGTGGGAGCCTGGTCAGTACCTGCTGGAAGAGGTGTTAGTGGGGCCAGTAGGGGGCGCTCACCCTGCGGTCTGTGTGGAACGTAATGCTTCAGTATAGTGACGGGGACACTATACTCTAAAAAGGCATCGTCCTTCGGATGAGACGTAAAACCAAGGTCCTGTCTCTCTGTGGTCATTAAATATCCCAGGGATTT